AAATGTACCAATGAAATAAAATTTAAAAAAAGATATTTGAGAGAAAGTACATTAGTTTTCCATTGCTGCTGTAACAGTCTCACACTTGGGGACTGAAAATAGCATAGATGTCTTTTTTTATCTTAATACATATAAATATAAACTTTAAACACATGCTTAAAAATAGTTTTTAGATATATTATGTAATAAATACCTATGCTCAATTGAATTATACTAGTGAATGTTTGATCTAATTAAGTAAACATTTTATATCCAAGGGAATTTTATAGATATAGTTTCAGAATTGATCCTCCAATTGATCACGGGACATGGGCAGAGAGGCAGAATGATTTTTTCCATTTTATCTTTACACTGAGAAAGAAAATTTTATATTGAAATTAAAGTTATGATACAAAGATTCTTGTCAGGTTTTACTCAACAGCAGTTGTCAAAATAAATTTGTTTATATTTAAATATTGTGAAAGTGTTACTTTTCTTTGGTTTCCAGGAAATTTATTCAAAACACCTACCAGAACTAAATTATCAGTGCATTAGAATATTCCCTGATCAGCAAAACATTTAATTTTTATTCAGTGATTGATGTGATATGTTGTCCTTCCTCTGAAAGCAAAAAGCAAGGTGAGGACTTGGGAGTAGATCATGCATTTCAGGAAACAAGAGTGAAAGAGCAGGAAAGTGAGAGTGCAAGAAAATAAAAAACCTAATTTAAGGATTACTGAGGCTGTTCTAGGAGACAGTGGGAGTCTGATTTCCAGGGAACATCATGAGAGACATCTAGAGTGCTCCCCAGAGCTCTCTGACTGCAAGCTGAGGCAGGAGTATACCTCTAGTGGCTCCAGTCTTCATAGGTTGAACTTTGCTCTTGGGCCCATGAACCCTGCACTTCCCACTGTGCCTCCTTACAAGTGAAGCTGGCTACTGGGGCTGCAGGGAGGGTGCTCCTGAAGATAGCCTCAGGTTGGGGGTGGTGTGCTTGAGGGTGGGACGCTATTGGTGGGAGAGCTCCAATGTGTGAGCATTCTGGAGATTCTGAATCTTTGCTTTTGTTGAGACAGTGGGAAGAGTCACTTGCTATATAGCTCAGTTCCAAAGTGCCGTCTTCTTTTCCACTTCATTTTCCTTATCCCAGATCTAGACAGCTTCAGAGGATATCTGATTGCACGGTGTATTGTATTCTGCAACTGCAAATTCATCTGGAAGAGAGTAATTGTTACTAGAATCAGTCTCATGACACTGCTCAAGAAGAAAGCTTCTTTATTATCTTTGTTTAGAAATAAACTCCCCTATGTCTGTGCTAATATAAGGATTTACTTTCTTGACTATTTCCACACCACATATATTTCTATTCCTATCACATTACATGCATATGTGATTGCTCCTACATGTTTCAGGTACATGATGCATGTTAAAACCTGAGATTAGCACTTAATTTTCTGAAGTAGAAAATCTTTATCATTTCAACAGTTGGAGGGACAGTAAAACTTTCAGGCTTATGGAAACGTAAAGTCATTCAGGTTTATGGAAACAAAGCTATGCTTACTGAATGTTTGAGTACCCAAAATTTTTAAATCATTATTGGTTGATAAACACTCCCTGTTTGTGGCTGAACTATTTATCAATACAGTAGCTTTTTCTTTTATTAAAAGTCTATGAATCATTTATTGGATGTGATAATCTGACTTAAATTGACTAACTTGTCATCATTTTCATATTTTGATTAAGTTATTAGACCTATATTTTAATTTATTAATATGCATAATTGAAATCTAAGGAATGCAAAGGAAGACAGATAAGCTTCAATTTCAAGTCCAAAGACCCAATTTAGAGTTAGTCTGCCACTGGTTTTGTGTTATTAGTAAGAATTTACTTTTCCTGAGCAAAAGCAATAACACAATGAAAATCTGGTTAAAAAAGCAGAAACTCCAAATTACATGACAAAGTAGCTATAACTATATATTTTTTCTTATTTGAAAATGTCATTGTATTTGGCAACATATGGATAAATAGGTGATCACTCAGTAGATAAAAAGATCCATGTCCAGGTTTGTCTGTTGAAGGATAAGAGATCAGACCAAGTCAACTCAGCTGGCAGTCACCTGCGAGACGCCCGAGTGGGCTGGCCTAGCTCACCCGGCCAGTTATCTACCAGTTGGCCACAGACACAGAGCCATTTATGGAGAAAATAGCTGAGCCACCCCAAGCTAGGCAACACACATTCTCAACCTGGTGCATCCATCAACTGCAAGGAGTAATAAATATATACTTTATCAGAATATTTCCACAAATTCTCTAATAGCATCTCTTTTACTTTTACTTTTTATTTTTGGTACCAGAGATCAAACTTGGGACCTTGCACTTGCGAGGCAGTGGCGGAACCACTGAGCTAAATCCCCGGCCCTAATAGCATCTCTTTTATTTTGTATTGAAATAATTTATGTCATCTAATTCACACTATTGGATAAGCTGCATGTCAAAATTCATAGCCATTAGCTCTGTTTTGCACGAACCTCTAATTTATTCAGAAAGAGAGCCTACTTCACATTTATTCTCTAGTAATTTAAACCAACATTTTCGTGAAAAGATAACTTAGGAAAAATCTTGAAGTTGTTCTCTTATAAACAGAATAAATCTCAAATCCTGTTTACTATTTGAACTTAAGAATGTCATATTAAATGGTATGAAATGTTGCAAGACATGAAATAAAGAAAGGAGATTTCAAAAACAAGAAATACAGTATCAGTAGCGAAAATGAAAATCGCGATATATCTGGTATAAAAACTAAGTGAAATTCTTACCAGTTGCATAGTAATCATAGAGCTGAATGGAGGCAGGCTTGTTGTTGGATACAAATGTATCTTGTTCAATGGAGAATGAGAAATGGATTTCCTTTCGAGTAACCTGGGAATAAATCAATATTATTAAGCACATTCAAGGTATTCCATCAATTTCTTTCTATGTCAAATATTCAGAATTATTTTAACAGTGATCATTTGGCACTACTTCCTTACAGAAAAACATCTGCAAAAAAATAAAACAAAACTACATTGTGCCTCTGGCACATACAATAACACACAAACCAAATTATGACAGTAAACTTACATTCTGTAGATAGAAAAAGATGTGAGTGGCTTTAATCTCTACTCGCTGTACTTTGCCATCTTCTTGAAGCTAAAAATAAGAAGGAAATGATGTATTGAAAATTTAGGGAACTAGTGATACATTTAGCTAATCAAAAATAAAAAATTCAATTTTAATTTGGTGGATTTTTTGCATCTTTACAAATATTTACAATATTCAGCAACAAATATTAATCTTTGAGAGTCATTTATTCAATAATTTTGAGAAACCTATCTGAATATTTGTTTCTAATTTTCAATAAATAGGATAATAAAACATACATTATTGATTTTTGTGTCTATTTATGGGGTAACTTGTGATTTTTATCTATCTGTACACTTTAAAAGATTCAGTCAAGGTAATTAACAACTCTCTTACCTCACCAACTTACCATTTTTGCGTGTGTGTTGAGGATGTTAAAAAATCTATTCTTTCAGTAATTTTTTCTTTCAGTAATTTTAAACATACATTAATCATGTCATTATGCAGTGCCTTATGTCACTAAAACTTACGCCTCTAGTTTAGCTAAAATGTACATTTTGGTCAACATTATTCCTTTTTCTTTTGTTCTCCTCTTTGGTAAACACTTCACTGGTCTCCATTTCTATGAGATTTTTTTTTAGATTGTACATAGAAATGAAATAATATTACATTTGTCTTTCTGTGTCTGGCTTATTTCACCAAAGAGATAATATCCTCATAAGTTGCATCCATACTGTTATCAAAGGACAGGATTTCCATCTTTTCATAATGCATTATAGTATTCCAATATGCATATGTATAATTTTCTTTATCCATTCCTCTTGGTTATTTACACATGTAGCTTGCCTCCATAGGGCAGCTAATGTGAACAGTGCTGAAACAAACACGGAAGTGCAATTCTTTTGGATATTTGCCCATATGTGGATTTCTGGGTTATATGGAATTGCTATTTTGACTTTGTAGAGAAACCTCTATACTGTTTTCCAGAGTGGCGGTATGTGGGAAACCAGGTGTGAGACCAAAGGTCTGTTTGCTAGCACACAGGCACCAACCATTTCATGGCGAGAACCAACCACAGCTGAAGTCTCATTAAAGCAAATACACATTCAGGTGCAGTCTCCAAATTATGAAAACCTGATGGACTTTCCCTGAACCCTGGGTCACATGCTCTCTTGCTTCTTCTTTGTGTGAGTCTAATAAAAGTGAGGAGCATTATCAGTTCAGGGCTCTTTTTGTCCACTACAGGCAGAAAGTCCCCTGGTCCTCCTCTTCCAAATTATCTTTGTGTCTCTTGTCTTTAATCCTTGTCTGCTCCCCTACTCTGGGGTCGGAGGTGAACTCACAGGCTGGTTGTTGCAGCTGTGCACTCACCAGCAGTGTGGGAGATCTTCCTTTTCTCCCGTCCTCCCCAACATTTATTATCCCTCACCTTTTGGATAACGGCAATTCTAATAGTCATGAGGTGAAATTTCATTGTAGTTTTAATATGCTTTTCTCCAGTGAGTAGAGATCTTGAGCACTTTTTCACAAATATATTGAGCATTTTCCTTTCCATTTTATTGACTGATTCCTTTGGTGTGCACAAAGGTTTTAGTTTGATGCAGTCTTATTAGTCTATGTTTGCTTTTGTCTCTCGTGCTTTTGGAGTTCAATCCAAGAAATCGTTGCCTGGGTTTCCCCTTTTGTTTTTTTCTACAGGTTTTGAGATGATTTTTTTTCTTTTTTAATTGTTGGTACATCTTTGTAATATATAATAATAATATTCATCTTGGGGAATTGTACACGTACATATAACATCTTCATCATTTTTATTTCCTCTCTTCCCCTTCTCCCTTTCTCATCTTCAAAAAGTCTGCCTCCCTATTTCATTCCATCACTCTTTTATTTTGCTCTTGAACTTATATTTTGGATCCTCATATAAGAAAAACAATGTGATATTTATCCTTCTGTCCTTTTGTGTCTGATTAATTTCACTTAGCATTATGACGTCAAGAGCCAGCCTTATTCCTAAACATGACTGAAATTATCCTTCTTTATGCTGAAAATGAGGGTCCCATTACATTCTACTGGATGTGAACATCTATTTTTCCCATCACTACTTTTTTTCAGTACTAGAGATTGAACCAAGGGCCTTCACACTAAGCTATATCCCAAGCCCTTTTTATTTTTTATTTTGCAACAGAGTCTCAATAAATCACTAAAGAGCCCAGGCTGGGCTTGAATTTGTAATCACCCACCTCAGCCTCCCAAAGGGTAGACTTGTAGGCATGGACCACCATGCCCAGCTTCCAACACTACCTAATAGAGAGCTTGTTCTTTACCCATTGTGTGTTCTTCATATTGTCAAAAAATCAACTGATTGTAAATACTTGGATGTATTTCTGGGCTTTCTGTTCCATTGGTTTAGTGTGTCTATTGTTATGCCAGTACCATGTTGTTTTGATTACAATTGCTGTATAATATGTTTTGAAATCAGGGAGTGTTTGTCTCTGGCTTTGCTTTTTGCTCATGATTGCTTTCTTTAACTCTTCAGGGTCCTTTCTGGTTCTATATAAATTAAAACAATTTTTTCTATTTCTGTTAAGCATGTCATTGGAATTTGGATAGGGATTACATTGACCCTGTAGATTGTTTTGGGTATGTTTTAGCAATATTATTTCTTTGAGTCCTTGAACATGGGATATCTTTCCATTCGTGTTTTCTTCAATTTCTTTCATATATGCTTTATAGTTTTCCATGTATAGGCTTTTCAATTCCTTGGTTAAATTTATTCTTAAGTATTTTATTGATTGGTTGATGATATTGTAAGTGGGATAGTTTTTTATTTTTTTAAATTCTTAAAAATTTCTTTCTTTAGATAATTTTTTGTTAATGTATAAATATATTACTGATTTTTATATGTTGATTTTATAATCTGCAACTTTACTTAATTTGCTTACCAGTTCTAACTATTTTTTGGTGTGGAGTCTTCAAGGTTTTTAATTTGCAAGATCATAACATCAGCATACAGAAAAAATATTATTTCTTATTTTCCTGTATGGTTCTTTTTATTTCTTTTTCTTGTCTAGTTGCTCTGACTGGAACTCACAGTAATATGTTGATAGAATGGTAAAAATTGACATCTTAGTCTTGCCCTTGAACTTAGAGGGAATGCTTTCAACTTCTAACCAGTGAATATGATGATAGCGATGCAACATCTACTCATTTTATTTTTTCATGATTTACTGTTTGATGGTATAAGAATACAAATAAATTTGAGAACCTTGAATAATATACTATGAGATACAGATGTGATTTAAATTTCATTCCATAAGACAAGAAAACATATTTTAAAAATACAACTTGTGACCATTGTATAAAGCAGTGAGTAACATATGGCTATTCTGTTTATTTTAATTAACAGCATTTAATTCTTTACCTTCTTTACTGATGATCTGTCAGGAACATATCCTGAAAGCATCTTCACATCAATGATGGCCATGTTGGAAGAATTGCGTTTTCCAGAATAACTTAAGAAAAGTGAAAAATTGAAAATTCAGGCAAATGTTAATTATTATTGAAGAAAAAAGTTATCAACAAAAATGTATTTGGATAGAAAAAGGTTATTATACCTTACCCTTTGTAAGATATATTGTTATGGATTGAAATATTCCTGAAATTAGTGGTGTACCAAAATGAAGCAACATACATTTCAATCCATTTGCAAGTGGATACAGAGAGTTGAACCTGATTTACACTCTTGTTTGGCAATTTTGGGTTTCAAATTAAAGGACTATAATATGTTGATTTGTAAATGAGAAACTTTAGGGAAATATACCTCTTAAAGAGGAATTTATAGAAGATTTTTTTTTACAATTTCTTTTGGTGTCTCCTATTTTATATATTTGGAAGCTGCATTTATTTTTCCATTTGGAATTATACAATCAAGGCAATTTAAGTGAGATGAAATATATTTGCCTAGAGAATTTAAATAAGTCCACCCCTTTCATAAAATGATTGGGTTATGTTTTCTTTTTCTTTTTTTATTAATTTTATTGGCACATTTTAGGTATACAATATAATGATATTCATCATTGGAGATTTGTACCTTTACATGATATATCTTGATTCTTATTTTTTCCCCCTTCCCCTGCCCTCCCTTCATCCCCTCCCCCCTCCCTATTTACAAAGACTTTGTTTCCATATTTTCATTTTCTCAAATTAATTCCATTCCCTTCTTTCCTTTCCCCTAGGGTTATGTTTCCATTGGAGGCCTAGACACAAGGAGGTAGAGATGTAGCTAAGTTTAAAAAAAAGAAAGTTATTACCTGGCTGAAACAACAAGGTCAAACTTTGTATCAAACAATCCTCTGCAGAAGGCATTGGCTGTATTCACAGAAAGGGAAAATCCAGACGACTTCTTGGGCAGTAGGATGTTATATTTCAGAGTTTTCTTGAATAAATATAGAATTTGTTGCTTATTAACTAAAAGATTAGTTCATATTTATTATCTCTATTAAAGTTTCAAATTCAAAGTCAATTTTTTACCTATATGCTTCCTATTTTCTATCCCATTAGTACCTCTTTTCTATACATTTATTGAGCTCATACTATATGCTTCCTGTTAAGTGCTATTTAATGTAATAATTTGTTTAATGTTTCCAGAACTTTGTGAGGTACATGGTACATGCTATTTTTAGCCTGTGTTTTAGAGAGGACAAAAATAAGGTGTGGGGAGATAAATAAGTTGTCAAAACTTATAGAATTAAAATTTACAGATAGTAACACTAGAATATAGACTGTCTTTTGGTAAATAATTGAAATGATCTGATATCAGACTCAAGAAACTCATTTTTTTAAGTACTGGGGACTGAACCCAAGGCCTTCACATTGAGCTATCCTTGGTCCTTTTTAAAATTAAAATTTATTTATTTACTGCAGTGCTGGGAATTGAATACAGGGACTTCACACTGAGCTACATCCCCCGGCAGTTTTTATTTTGAGACAAGTTCTCACTAAGTCATTAAATTACCCAGGCCAACCTCAAACACTGCAACCGTCCTGCCTCAGCCTCTTAGAGTGCTGGCATTACTCTGAGCTGATTAACTTATTATAATGTCAGAATTACAGGAATTAAGGTAGGTGAATACCAGTAGGATGGTGAATGAACTAAGAGGGAAATTGTAGGATCTAAATCTATAACTATATGACTTGGAAATAGGCTCGGTTAACAACTTAACTTGACCTAATAATTGCACATCTGGAAATATATTCTTAAGATACATCTGTCCAAATACAAAGAAAAATGTGCGTAGTATTCAATGTAGTTCTATCTTAATAGGGAAATAGGGCATGACTCAAATGTGCATCAGCATGCTACTTACTAAACACATTCTGGTATATTTACATAGTGTGGTGATGCCAACTGAATAAAAGCAGAAGGTTACAAGGAATTAGAAAAATTTCCACTTGGCAGTCCTTAATGGAATGACTGATTCAGGCAAATGTCATTAATGCGTGTTAAGAGTTGTAGGTGAAAATTCACCAATTTTCACACTGAGCATTCAACATTTACATGTAGCTTTCAACATTTGGATGATTCCAGTGTAACACTTTAAGCTCTTTCAAGTGCAAAGAGAATTAAAAAAGTCCCCCTTTGTGAAGAAGTATGCCAGTCACCACCTTAATACAAGATCAAATGTAGTATCACTATGGGCAGGAGGGGTAGCTGAGTGGTAGATCACTTGCTTAGCAAATGTGAGGCCCTGGATTTGAACCTCAGCATCTAAAAAGAAATAAAAAACAAAACTAAAACAAAGTAAAACAAAAAAAGTAACAACACTGGTGGTGATATACCCCTGGATGTGAGAGAACATAGATCTAACTTTCAGTTTACAGAAACCACACAGAGGCAACACATTCAATGACACCAAAAAGAAAACAATCTGAAGGGCTGTGGCACTGCATCTGCCTTGCAAGTGCAAGGTCCTGAGTTTGATCCCTGATACCAGAAAAAATAAAAAAAGAAAAGAAAAAGAAAACAATCCAAAAAATCCAGACATTCTACAACACAACTGGCCTGTCTTAAAAATTAAAAAATGAATGTCAAAAGAAAAACATAAAACTTATTAGATATATGAAATTAAAGGAGATTTAAGAAGCACAGTAGACAATTGCAAAGCATGTTTTTGAATGAATCTTGGTTTGGAAAAAGAAGATTAAATACATTGGGAATAATTAATTATATTGTATTACAAACCATTGTCAGTTTGTTAGCTGTGACAATGGCATTGTAATTATGGCAGTTACAAGATGAAGTGTTTTGGAAATGCACTAGGATGTCTTTATGATGACTCTAATTTACTTTAAAATTCACCCAAAAAGAAAGAGAAGGCCCAGACTTACCTGCACATATACGCAGCCGTTGCCACTCACTCTTACCGCGAACTGTCTCGAAGGTGTTGGCATTAAAATTTCCAGTGGTACCAAGCGGTTCTCATCATTCACTAGGAAGGACCTATTGAATGTTCTGCCAGAGAAAATCTGCACCAAATTTTGTCTGTTTTTAGAAAACGTGAGTGTTTGGAATAGCGTCAGAGCTTGGAGAGCCACAACGGTGTCCTAAAATAATAATAATGACCAAAACAGTTTTAGAGTATATCCTAGGGCTTTGAAATCACAGTCAAATATAAATGTTACCCATTTAAAGCTAATTTAAAATGTTATCATTGTTTTGGTGCATTTTAAAAATTATTTTGTGAACTATACTTTATCAAAAATAAGGCCTACAGCAAAATTTCTGTCTGACTCTTTAATTCAGACAAAAACTTAATCAGATAGAATAAAAATGTGAAAAAAGATGAGGAAATTTTTAAAATGTAGACTGAGTCAGGCTTTGTTCTCCCAGATAATTAAAAATATGAGGCCAGACATCTGTGGAAAAAAATAAAAAGCTTAAAAAAACAAGAAAATAAATTTAATTTCATTTTCCAGTAAGAGCAGCATTTTAAATAATTGGCTAAATAAATTGTCTGTATGACATTGAGATAACTGGTTGGCCATTTAAAAATATCAAGCTGGGTTTCTGCTTAAAATAAATCTACATCAGCATATACCTTAGATTGTTAATTGAAATATAATTAACGAATCTATAAAATACAGAAAATACAGATATGTATTGAGTATTTTTGTCTAAAAGCTAGTGTTAGCATGGTATTAAAGTGAAAACCTTGAGCAGCATTATTAAATTAAGTGAAAATGAAAAGAGAGTGACCTGTGTGTTTAAAGAGTTGTATAGATTACAAGGAAGATGAGAACTTGGCCAGGGTGATATGCGCATTAGCATGGTTAAAATCTTTGTCTGGAAGTCTTATAAATAATCAAGAAAAAGACTAACCCTCTTACTAGGAAACGCATAAATGACATATGACCTGGTGCTTCATCACAATGAAATGAAAAGGATTTTAGAAAGGGAAAACATATTCCATGTAAATAGAATCCATGGAGATTAATTTACTACCCAGAATGAGTGATTTTATTTTATCAGATCAAAAGAGATTATGCAAATGATTTTGAAGTTATATAGTGAAAGTTATTCTCACATTGATTATAATAATTCATTGATGCCATTTTTGGATAAAATCATAGCCTTTAATTTTGCCTAGAAATTTTAGCAAGTAGGTGTTGAAATTTCCATTAAAAAAACTGAATAGAAATAATCTTTTGAATAAATACTGTTATTAGGTAAAACACCACAACTTCAATGAACCTAAAATATGGAAAATTAAGAAACAATAGCAAATTTAATAGTGATAAGAGATTCTTTTAGTTGGATAAATGCAGTATGTACATTCAAGGGCCAATGCCATCAATGGAAAGTAGGTCCTCAGTTTTGACATGTTAGAAATATATACTAGGCTTTCTCATTTTTAGAAATATATGTTACCTTTGTGGAGGAGAAACCTCCACGTGAGTTTTGCTGCTTTGCCACCCATTGTACAATCTGTGAAGCATAGGACAGCTCTTCCGAGGTCAGCCCTGGCTTAGAAAGGAAAGCCAGCAGGATGTAACTGGTCACTTCTATGCTTGCAGAGGATGCCCAGAGGTCATAGGGAGAGGATGGCCCTTTCAGTTCCCAGTACACTGAGCCACCTGGTGGGAAAGTGAAAGGACGTCAACAGTGCCTGTATCAAAGCATGAGATTTACCTGTGTGGACAGAGAGGTGAAACCTGAGGTAGTGAAAACCTGACAATCCAAAGCAAAGAAACACCAAGGGGGTGATAATTGTACCACCACTACCCATGTTCAACATGTGACTCCAAGAATGGTGAAGGCCACTCACCTACTTTCTTGGCCTTTTTGCTCAGTTCGTTGAAGAAGAATTCCCTTTTGTCCTTATTGTCTACTAAGCTGAAAGTGTGGGTCAAGAGAGCCTGGTCATAAGTGGTCAAAGTGCTCTTCTGAGATGCAGCTTCTATGCATCGAAGACCCTTTTGAACCGCCACAAACTACAAAGGAAAGAAAAGTCACTTGTGTACATCAATACATATATAAAAAGACAGATGGTGATGTATTCATCACTGGGGGAAATTAGGAATGAATCTTGTCTGTGTGCTGAAATGTTCAAAATGCAAATGAATGCATTTGTTTAATTTCTGCAGATCCATATGCTTTGATGGACAGAACCATGCACAGTTCCTGCCTGGTTTGATTGATGATTTGAAGGGATATTGGTTCAGCATTATTTTGTGGTTGCTATAAATATAAAGTTGTGGCTCCTGGAATTATATTGATGGTAAAACGTTTTGGATTCCTAAGAGCCAAGTTAGTGGTATCACAATGGGATACTTACTGAGACTGGGTGACCGGCTTCAAGCAGGGCATTAACAACATAGGCAGTGAGAGAGATGTCATTATCATCTTCTCCCTGAATAAAGCACAGGAGTAACATGTGAGTTTCATGGAATTCAGAGGAAAGGACAGCTTTCTTTAGAAATGTAATGTATTGAGAAAACTCATATTAGTTGTTTCCTTTCGACATCTGGGCTGGGTACCAAACTCAATGGCACCCTACACTGAGCTACACCCATGGCCCTTTTTATTTCTGAGACAGGGCTTACTAAGTTGTTCAGGTTGGACTTGAACTTCTGAAGCTCTTGCCTCAGCCCCTGGAGAAGCTGGGACTAAAAGGAGCATCACTGGGCTTGACTTTTTTCCACATTTTTGGGGGGATGAAGTTTTTCATATCCTCAAAAGATACTATTTATAAAATGAGAAAATGGTGACTGAAAATGCAAGGAATTTACAGAAATAGAAATGTTAATTTATAAAAATTACTTATGGGCCTAAGAAGACATTTAGAATCAAAGGAGGCATAGAGTCCCAGCAGAGTACCCTCCCTCAACCTTGTCCTCACTCCAGATAGTGTGACAAGTGTTGTGGAAAATGTGTGTGTAATATCATAAAAGAATTTGCATGAACTAGAATGGTAGATCGAACAGAAGGAAATGCTGGCAAGTACAGGAAACAATTAGCAAAGCCCTCAAAAATCAGTAAACACAGACATCAGTGATTAACAGAGGCATTATAAGCAGTGAGCTACTTAGAATATGGAAATAAATCATATATAAATCACACAAGAGAATAAAATAAATTCTAGCAGGTCAATAATATTAGTTATGAATAAAATCACAGTCCTCCTAAAAGTTTAAAAGGAAATCACCAAAAGGAAAATACAAGCTGAAAATTACCATGTGAAAAATATCTGCTTTCTGAACCAACTGTCTAGTAAAGAGAAATAGGTACAGGACACTTTTGTTTTGTGCCGTTAGGGCTTAGATCGAAAATGTCCCCATTGTTTCACGTGTTTGGAGGGTGACTGGATCACGGGAAGCGATGCTCACCACTGATGGGGTCAGGACCCCACTGTGCTGTTAGGGGTTGGGGACTGCTCGGGTGGGTTCCCTAGGGTGCGACCAGCAAGGGCGATTGATGGGCCCTCTTTTCTTTCTCTGCTTCCTGGCTGCCCTGGACTGAGCACATTTTCCTCTTTCATCCTCTCTTTATTATTTTATATTATTAGGACCTGTGTGTAGTACATAGTTGTTTACATTCCTCGTGGGAAGTTGGTGAGTGTACACAGCACACCTCAATTCCCTTTGCTCATCCCTTATCCCTTTCCTCTTCTCCTTCTCCTGGCATCTCTTGACCCCCGTTGGCATGCCTTTCCATATGCTGTTTCTGCTTTGGAACCAGCCAACCATAAACTGAAACCATGAACCAAAATAAAGCTCTCTTCCTCTAAGTATCGGGTGTTGAGTATTTTGTCCCAGCGATGGGAAAATGACTAAGACATCTCCTGTATTTCTGAAGAAATTTTTTCATACTTATATTGTTTAATGTTAGGGACAGTATTGTAAGTAAGAAGATACTCTCTATGTTGAAGAAATGTAAATTGGCACAACTTTACTAAAGATCAATCTAGTGACATTATTTTAGACACATGTCTACCCTAAGTCAATAATGACCTTGAGGCACATATTTATGTACTAAAGGAATGTTTATACAACACTAGACTAACTTTATTCAACATTATTAAATCAATAAAACAGCAACAGATAATTTAAACAAGTTACAGCTTATCCATATGATGGAGTATATAAATCTATTGATTTTGTGTTTTTAAGTTATTCTGATGTCATATAATGTTAGGTTTCAAAGAAGAAGAATTAAAAACTCAGTTCTGGATAATCTCAATTATGTTTATACGGCATTGGAAAAAAGACCAAAGGAAAATGTTATGAAAACATTAAAGGTGGTTATCTCTGAGTTGTTGGCATAGAGTAAGATTTTGGTTAATTTCTTAGATTAAATCTCTGCTTTTATTTTCAATAAATCAGTACTACTATAATAGTTATTCAGAAAATGTTAGTGTAGGGAAGCCTCAGGAAGATAAGACAAATTTACTCACTAACATTTACCTTGAAGATTTTAACAAATACAAAAATAAATTGGATTCTAATAATGAAATATTAATAAATAATTTACCTAAATGATATAGCATTTAAATATTAGTAATTATCTAGGTTGTCTAAATTTTTTACTTCCATTGCTGGTAATACTGCCACAGCATCCCACTCTAAAAGCCATAAATGGTTAGAATCTTCAAGAGTTTTAAATCTGAGTGAGGAAAAGTAAACAGTTCATTTGTTACAAAGAAAGACTTTGTGAATTTTCAAGATAACTGATTTATTTATACCAGTAGAAATTTCAGTTTAATAATTCTATCAATTTCATCAGTGGTCCACTGGGGTTCATTAAATGATCTTGATGAAAGAAATGGAAGCTGAAAGGCAGAATTCCTTCAGTACCTTCAAAGCATTGTTGAAGACATTGCCAGAATTTGAAAAGCAACCATCCGATTTCTGAACACTTAGGAGCCAAATAAGGGTCTGGGACTGTACTTTGTCATCAATATAAATGTAGCGCCTGGCTTGTGCAAACGACTTGTACACAAATGCTGTCAGCCTGAAAAGAATCACATTCAAAGCACGTTTATAACTAACACTGGGAGGCAAATTCTCACTAAAATAAGTGGTTTGCTACTATTGCATTTTTGAGTTTCACATCCTGAAAAATTCTTCCCACAGCTCCAGCCTAATGTCTGACAGCAACCCGTCATCTCTTTCAAATATCAAGCATTGGTTTACGGGTCTCCTTCTCCTCCGCATTCACCATTTGTATCCCAGGTGAAGGGAGGGCTGCCTCCTCTGCGATGTGCTCTCAGATTCTTTGATGTGTGCCTCAAGCAACCCTTCTTAGTACCGAAAATTTGGAAAGGTTCTAGAAATTACAAAAAATTAACAGCTGGGCCAGGGATGTAGCTCAGTGTCACAGCGCCTGCCTGGCAAGTGTAAGGTCATGAGTTCAAGTCCCTATAGCAAAGAAAAACATTAACAGCCACGATGAAGCAGATGGGATGTGTTTTCACAGTTAATAACCCGGAATCTGCAGTTGGAGTGGCTCGTCCACACACAACAAACGAGGTGCATGGTTAGATGTGTACTCCCCATCTCTGCAGAGCAGCCTTCCTCATGGGTAAGTGCTAGGTCAGGTTCCCGAGTCACGGTAGTTTCTGGAAATGTCACGCTGATTTACAAGCTCCCTCAGCGTCATGTGCATACTTTTACTGCTGCTGTTGTTACACTGTGTTCCGATGTACTTTCTTATCTCTCATTACTATATGATAAACTTCCTGAGGTCGAGGATCATTTAGTATTTCCAGGCAAAATAAAATAATGAGTAAGAGATCGGATCCCGGTACAGACACTAAAATTCTGTCACATAGTTAGCAGAGAGTTTGGGAAACCCTTTAATATCTCTGCGTGCTACATGCTGGACTGTGGTCTGTGGAAGTCCCAATCTTCAGGGGCCAGAAGGTGACCATTTTTGGAGACAGGGCTTTAAAAGGTAATGAAGTTAAAATGGGGTAAATGCCATTGAAAATTAACACAGTGTTTCTGTTCATTCATGTGCAAAATGGATATTATAATGTCACCTGCTCCATTGCATGGTCATGAGGATTAATTATATTCCATTACAAAAGAAATGATAGTTATTATTCCACGTATCATTTTGTATCTCAAACACTTATTGTTCCCAGGGCACAGTAGTGAGAGAATATGTGCTTGAAAATAAAAATTAACCTTATAAGGAATAAATTTTAAAACAACTCTCATCTCAAAATCATCATCTTTTTAACAGCATAACCTATACTTAGCCTAGATTTTGTTTTGGTACTTTTTCACTGTTTATAGCAAATATTTATCTACTGAACTGTGCATTTTTCTTATTTCATGGACAGACTCCGTGTCTATACATCTTAAGTCTGTGGGAAACCTTTAGTCAGCAGAAGCAACGTTGGACAGTGAATTGGGATGATAGCAATGTTTCCATTGGAATAATTTGCTTACACAACAAATGTGGTACCACATCCCTTACCTGGCCTCAGTCAGGTATTGCCTTTGCCTAATGATTTGCTTATTTAACATGCATTTTGTGCTAACTAAAAGATATAAATTCTATAAATTCTTAGGTCCCAATCTTGTTAAAATAACATGTGTGTGTAGGCTTGCATATAAACAGTTTGGGGAAGAAGGTCTATACTTTTTATAAAATCCTCAAAAACCTACATCAAAGGATATATTTAGACATATTTAATTAAGTTCTGAAATAAATGATAAAAAATACAGACCATATATTTTTCTGCTCATCATTATGTCCAAAGGTACTATATGATCCATCTTGGTGTTTATAAGACATCTGCTTCTGATATCCTTGAATAAGGAAAGAGATACTATCATTTTTCAATTTAAAAATTATCTAGAACAAAAATTCAATTAATTACATATTTATATTCATTATAAGTAGATAAGTGAATATGGACCCATAGAAAAAATATTCATGCACTTACAAAGCAAAACAGCTGGGGTTCAGATATTAAACTGAGATGAACAAGCAAGCCTTTTAAATTCTTCTTTACCTGTGGTCAGGTACCCAAGGGCCTTGGATTTTATCTCTTCTGTCAGTTGCTGAGTCTGATTCAGATAGTCCAAGATGTAAATATTGGAAGCGAACAGGGCCATATTTTGCTCCCCACAACCAAAAGGCATTTGGAGGAAATCCTGTAAGTTTTGCATGGCAGAACCAAGAATGTCTCCTGCAAAGACAATCAAGTCAGTTTGGGTTTCATAAAAACTGTGAAGATAAGTATGAGTTTGTGCTCATGACCTCTATCTCACAGATATTCAGGATAACTCTTTTTTTTTTTTTTTTGTGGTACTGGGGATTGAACTCGGGACTTTGCACTTGTGAGGCAGGCAGTGGAACCACTGAGCTAAATTCCCGGCCTCCCAGGATAACTTTAAAATATTATTGGACTCTCTCTTTTTTCTACTTGTTGGAGCCTCTCCATACAACGTTGGAGATGTGTTATCCAACGCAGCACAGCCAAGAGCAGAGCTCAATGCTCGTGGGAATCAAAAGTCCTGAGAGCTCCCATGATGAAGTGGAAACTCCAGGCCAGTGATTAATCAAAGGGGACAGAATTTGGGCCCAAATAAACATCTGTGAAATGTTTACCATGTATCAGATACTGTTCTGAGCACTTTGCCCATACTAATTCATTCAGTACTTAGAACAATACTATAAATCAGTACTACTCCTCCCATATGTAGGAAATGGAGACATACGGAGGTTAAAATATTTTCCAATATCATTCAAAAAAGATGCAGCTAAAACACGGTAACAGCCCAAATGCCCATCAGCTGGAGACTGGATAAAGAAAATGTGGTTTTTTAGTAAAGTAGAGTACTACTCAGCCATAAAGAATGAGAAATTAGAGCCATTTATAGCTAAATGGATGCACATTGAGGCCATACTCAAGTGAAGTAAATAGGACACGTGTAAATACCAAATAGTCTCTCTGGTGTGAGAAATTGAAAGTGTAAATAAGGATCAAAATGTATAATAGATAATGTGAAATAGGAAGAAAAGGGGCAAAGAGGAAGGGGAAGTGGGAGGGGTAGGGGAAAGGAAAGAAGGGAATGGAATTAATATGAGAAAAATGAAAAAATGGAAACAAAGTCTTTGTAAATAGGGAGGAATGGAGGGGTTGAAGGGAGGGCAGGGGAATGGGGAAAAAATAAGAACCAAGATGTATTATGTAAAGGTACAAATCTCCAATGATCAATGCCATTATATTGTATACCTAAAATGTACCAAAAAAAAAAAAGATGTGGCAGAATCAGGAATCAAGTCCAGGTAATATGGTTTCAGAGGTCCTGGACCTCCATACTTCCTACGCACTCTCTTTCAAAAACTGACCCTTATGTAGCATTATTATGTATCTTGCATGTTAGCATCTAGATTTAATTTTCATAACAATCCCATGAAGTAATGTTACTAGGTTCACATAAAGTATTAGGAAATGAGGCACAGAGAGGTTGAGCGACTTGTCTAAAGCTAGTTGTTGACAGATTACTGAGGCTCTAGTATCATAGGTCCTGCAAGTTGAGAGTGAGGAGCTTTGTGTACCTTTGGTCATTACCTGCAAAGACCATCAGCTGTGTGTGGAGTGGTGTTTACTCCTACCTGAGTATTGCAACTCCAATTAAGAGGAGTTTGATATCACTATCCACAGGCTCAGTATGATATGCTCTAAAAATCAGTGGTTTCTGAGAAAATATCAGAACTTTTCTTTACCAAGGTGGTCTTACTCTTACAAAACACCAGGCAGAAAGTCAGTGTCTGGACTAAATTTTATGTGCCCAAGTAAAAATGATCTTTAGAAAAGGGAGTCAGAAGGTGAGAGTGGCCCAGAAGCTCTGGCACTTGAGTTCTTTTTTTAGCTGGGCATCAACCTCAGTGAACAAATTCCAAGGGCAGACATGGAGCCCAGAGAGATGATGAGACTCAAGCAGAACCATGGCAGAAATAGATGTAAGTTTCCCTTTTCCTCCAACTTCCTTATGTGATAGTATTGTAGACTCACCAAGAACAGTCCAGTAGGCCCTGAGGGAGTCTTTTACCAGATTTTCTGGTAAAGTGAGCTCTACTCGTTGAGACACTGTGGATCCTAGGAAACAGAAAAATAAATAAATTAATTCAGAACTCTAATCTTAAAATCAGAGTTTTGACTTCCAATAATGATTTATCTTCTCGATTACTAAATCACTTAGTGTCTCCTTATTGATTAGTCCAAATGGTAAAGTAATCAGGAAAAAAGGTCAAAAGGATTTCTTTCTTTAATTATAACTAATTGGATTTACTTAAAATTTTTTTCATAGTCAATTATATTTCAACATATGATAGAAACTTTAACTTTGCAAAGCAAATTACAATCGACTGTGTCCTTTCACACACGTTATTTAATCAGATATTTACAAAATAATTTATGGTGTATGTACAGACCAGACATGCCCCCGGCCCCTTAGAAGAGAAGGTTCAGGCTAAAAGAAAATAAGGGATTTGGGATGTTACACAATTCAAAATAATGAAACACAGAATCTGAACATAGGTTTTATGAATCCAGAATCAGTGTGCTTCCCATACTGGTGTTAAAGTGCAGCACTACCATAGTGTGTTCCTTTGGGTGATAAAATACTGGAGAATGAATGGAAATCTATGGCTTCTCTTCCTAGAGGAGTCTCTGATATTTCTAACATTCAAACAAAGAAACAAACAGCTGCCATTTAAAAATAATTAGATAATAACAACATTGTTGTGTCCCAGTATAATTTTTAAGGCAATCTAGTTGTTGTATTTTGGGGAACAGAAAGATTTTTAGGCAACAGCTGTGGGTCACAGCTCTGGATAATTGGTGGCCCACTCAGGAAATGGTAGCTCAAAAAAGACCACTATTATTTGGCTCCCAGGTGCGGAGAAAGAGAAGGTTCTGGAAGTCATGCATATTAAATAGAGATGATTCTACTTTGGCAGTGGTTTTCTGACAGAACACTTATAATATTACAAAAGGTGTTTTTTAATAACACTTTTATGATTATTGTAATGAACAAATCAAGGCTTAGATGGGGAGAAGTAAGAGGTAGAGATGAACTGAATAAAAATCAAGGATGCTCAGATTTCTGAATAGGGGAGTAGGGAAAATGGAAAACCTAAAGGTTTAAATTTACATTGGTGTGTAGGATGTTCAGATTTTATTATTTGAAAGTAATTTAATCTTTTCCAGTAAAAGAAGAAAATATAATATAATTAAATTCCCAAACAAAGACAATGCTGCCAAGTTAGCAAGACTGTAAAGATGTCTACTTACCATTGGTGCAAATAAGCAAGCCCTGTGTCATCTCCTTTTTAATACCTTCGGGCTAATTGTTGGGAGAAGAAAAGGGGGTAATCATAATCAGTCTTACATCAAGTAAATTCAGAATATTCCATGTTAATAATTATGTTTAAATAGAACAGATAATCTTCACAAATTATTACAGGTAATAATAATTCAGGAGTACATGAATTTTAAGGTCGAAGATAATGCTGAAAAGTGATTTTATGTGCTGTAAGTTGAATATCATTAAAGTTGCAGGCAAGGACTAACTCAAAAATCTTTCAGGCTCCAAAATCCTATTATTGTATTTCAAGAGTACTATACATTTTATTTTAAAGGTTCTTTACATAGTGTGGACTAAATGTCTGTCCCTGGCCTTCTTTTCTAAATATTTATCGAAATAATATATTGTATCTTTTTTTTTTTTGGTACTGGGGAACAAACTCAGAACCTTGTGTTTTTGAGGCAGTTGGTGGAACCACTGAGCTAAATCCCCAGCCCCTACATTGTATCTTTGAATAAGTGGATCACTCCTATTTCTATGAACCCTGAAAGGGATACTTAATACTTCTTTACAAAGATAAATATTTTGAAGGACAAACAGATTTTTCCTCCAGGTCTTTAATTTTAAAAATTAATATGTATTAATCATACATATTAATGCAATTCATGTGTTATTTCTATGCATGCATGCACCATGCCCTGTTCAAATCCATCCTTCCTACCACAATTCCCAATCCCTAGTAGGCACTATTCTACTTTCAAGTCTACTTTTTGTAGCTTCTACATAGGAGACAGAACATATGGTGCTTGTCTTTCTGTCTCTGGCTTCTTTCACACAAAATAATGCCCTCCAGTTCCATCCTTTTTGCTGCCAATGAAAGGATTACATTCTTTATTGCTGAATAATAATCCATTGTGTATTTATGCCACATTTCTCTATCCATTCATCTGCTGATGGGCAACTAGATTGATTCTCTATCTTAGCTATTGTGAATAATGCTTTAAAAATATTAATATGGATAAATATTACTCCAAGGTCCTACCTCTACCAACAATGGTTTGATCAGTGTATCCCTCCAGCCAATGTCCTGAGCCAGGGATGACCCATGCCCATAACCACTATTCTGCAGGGTTTTAGATGTAACAGTGATGTTGATTACACCTGAAATGGCAAAAATGTAAATGGCAAAGTTATTAGAATGGAGATCCAAGGAAGTGGTGATCATTTTTGACTCTAAGTTGAGGTAAATTGTTAAAATAACTGAAATTGTACAGAAGAAAAAATTAAGTGTTACGTTAAGTATTAACAATATTAATTCTTTACTTGGTTCAGATCTTGATTCCAACTTCCCAACCTTGGACCCAGGTAGATGCATCTTGGGTTGTAAAAGAGAAAGGAAGGTAATAGGAATGGGAGAATGGACAAGGGGTGTACTGAGAAGTAGCTATAGCAGAGGAACAGCAGAGTAGGAGCTTAGGAGAACTTACAAATGAATGTAAACACACGTGGTAACCGCAAACCTTACCCAGCTTATGTGGGGTAACCAGCCAAGTAAAAGACTTTTTCTCATTGCTCCTTGTATAATCATTTTCATCATTAATTGAGAGAAACCTGGCTTCATACAGATTAGATGATTTCAGTTCAGTATTAATCTGTGAAGCCCAGACAAGAAAAGAGAGAGAAAGAAGATGTAAACATTTCCATACAGAAACATAATACATCCACATATGTTTGCAAAGTTAGAGAGTAAATTTCCCACCTTTCACATTTTCTGCTGTGGGAAGAATGATTTCTTAACCAAGGAAAATTATCAATATCATTTCACTGAATTATAGTTATCTGATCTTTCACATATACTATTTTGAAAAAGCAGTAAATATATTATTGACATGCTCAACAATGCACTTATCTAGAGACTCCCAGCAAAATAAGCATGTATTTTGACCAATCTGGGTTGACCAAGTTATCGTAAGTTCTTATAACCTGCAGTTTCCTCTTTCTTATCTATAAATTGAAGCCAGTGTCATCTACAGCTTACAATCAGTGGGTATGTTATAGAAAATCACATATACAGAATGTCTAGAACAGTGAATTTCAACACAGGTTTACAAATAAAAACTTTACTAACAAATAAGCAAACACAAACTTTCTTTATTATTAAAAATGCTCTGTTATTTTTCCTAAAGGTTCTTATTACTCAATGCTATACCCTGACAAACTCAATAGATTTGCATGCTTTACTTTTATTTTTAGTTTTACTTTTTGTGGGTGCTGGAGATTGAACTCTGAACCTTCTGCATGCTACATAAATGTTCTACCCCTGAGATATACCTCAGGCCTGTTTATTTTTTCAGTAAAGGTAAAAATATGTCGATCATGTACATTACATGGCATGTTGGATATGTCATGCTATAACTACTATTTACCGATGATGCAATAATTGGATGCTAATAAAGGGTTAGGTTTGGGGATCATACCATTGGAAAGTCATATATAAAGAGAAAAGCTAATACACTGTATCAAGGAACATATGTTTATTATAGATACTGTTGAAATTTATTGTTTGGATAAAAGCCATGTAGAAAGGAAACAAATCCAATGCATATTTATAGTGGATTTTGCAAGGTTCACTTTTTATATTATAGAAGGTTCATTGTTTATATTATTATATTAAGAGATGAACTCAAGTTTAAAGCTCTGGGTTTTTTATACTATAAAGTTGGTAGATACCATCTAGCTGTCAAAAGTTGGTGACCTCTAAGAGGTGGTAGATGTAGTCTGTATATCCTCAGGTAATCCAAAGGAGAAAGATAAACAATTAAAAAACCTAATTAACACCCAGTATAATTATTTAATAAGTCCTTCTGCTTTAGAAAGGTCTTATACATAAAATTCTTGGTTATGTGGAAGAATTGAAGGTGAAAAAGATCTCTTCAGATTTCCCACCCATCCTCTCACACATCTGGAAAAAAGTTAACTGAGATCATAGAGTTGTCTTAAACTCTTTTCTGTTCAGCCAGCCATTGAAATCTAGTAATATGTATTTCTAAGCCCCACTGAATGGTTGGCAAAGTTGGCAGTATCTTCAAAAACTCAGGAAAGACAAATTTAAAATAAATAAATTTAAATTTAAAAATAATTTATGCAGGCAATAATATGGTATTTACTAAGAAGACTTGACTCAGTACCTGAACACTTCTGTTGAGATAGTTGAAGACACTGGCTTTCAGAACGAATATTTCTCCTTGAACCACAGAGTAAGGTAAAGTGACTTCCACAAAGAAGGGCAGAAAGGCTGCCAGGGAGACGGTCGGGGAGAGGCCAAATCCAACTTGGTCATTCATGCAGAATCCACTGGCCTTCCATTGCGTGATGGAATCGGGGACAGTAAGACTCAGGTTGGCGACTCCTGTGGAGCTACAGGAAGAGATCCAGGCAGCGTTGGAGACAAGAGCTTTCACCGTACAATGTGTAATTCGATCATCCACTGATTTTACAGCCTTTTTTCATTCAACACCATTAACATAGATGTATTTATTTATAGCACATTTGTTCAACTTTACCGATAGTTTTAGAAATATGAGCCTCATACATAGTTTTCAAGTTTAAAATGTGCACATTAGCCTCATACTTGAATTTTCAGCACCTATTTGGAAACTCATTTTTCTCAATCCCCCATTGTTCTTCCTCATTTTCATAATTTCTTCCTCTTCTCTTGCTTATTTCACATTGTTTCCTCTTTTCCCTCTCTTCCTTGGAGCCATATATACTTGATGAGTATTATTCAACAGAAAACAAAATTTCAGACTGTTTTATAGCTTCCACTCAACTTTTTTTCCAATAAAATAAAGTTCTTAATAAAAATAAATGACTTAATAAAAAAAGTAATGGAGTAAGAAATGGAAATAAGGAAGACATAAAAAAAGGAGATTGTAAAAAGGAAAAGAGAACAGAATAGAAACCTATCAGAGGCTCTGTAGAATTCTTTTTACGCATTTTCTTAATTTTCTGTATTTTGAACACATTTTCTTTGAGAAGGCTGATAAATTTTATGAGTATTTTCTCTCAGGAAAATAGAAAAAAATAAATGAAGAAAAACAACGACAACAGCAGTAGCAATAATGACTCACTCAGTTGTGATAAGATTCCAAATCCAGGTTTCAGGGAATGATTTCCTCAGAGTATCTTGAACATATCCACCCTGAGCTTGAGAAGCTGAACCTGAAAATAGGCCTGAGGATTCAGCTAAAGAAGAAAATGTTAAATGTTTTCAATACAAAGACATTAAATATTTCAGGTGATATATATATGCCAATTACTCTGATGTGGTCATTCTACAATGTATGCATATGCTGAAACAACACACTGTGGCCATAGATACATACAATTATTATTGTTAATTGAGAAGAAAATATAACTTAAAGAATAAAAGTATATCTGGAGAAAGGGAAAAAATAATTAGCTACTCTATATTCATAAGGTCAAACTTAATTTCTTAGTAAATGAAATTATGTTCTGAGGACAATATTTAATAGCAGTAGCAGTCATCATTTACGGAAATATTCTGTATATCTCAGTCAGTACTGAGAGTGTTTTATGTATATTACTCATTCAATCCTCATAATAAACTTTGACAAAGATTTATGATCCCACTTGCAGATATTTTATGTTTGCAGAATAATCTGTTAATAGTTTACAAATGTAATTAACAAGTTAGAAGAGCATTAATTATGCATCTCTGCATTCAATTATCATTGATATTTTGTCATATTAAACCTAGAAATGCACTGCAAAAGCAATATGGAGATACACATAAAGTAAGTTGAAGAGAAAAAGTAAAATCAAATTGACCTTTGACTTTCACCACCAGTCCTCACTTTATCTCCCTGAATATCTTAACAATATTATACTCATTTTAATATCTTTTTCTCATTGCTCAATTTTGCATTTAGCGTCCAATGTAACTTCCATAGATTGTTATTTTGTTGTTTGTCTTTCATTGTCTTTTAAGTATAATACTTCTCAGGGGTTTTTAATTCTTCCTTGTGAGAATGTATTCAGTGGGAGATTCTGTGGATACATTCAAATGGCAACAGCCCTTCTCTGGATAGTCCGAAGATTTTTATTTTGGGATTTGGCTGAAGGTCTGCAGCCACATCCAGGCTGATTCCATGATTCCAGCCCATTTCATGTGTGCTTGGTGCTGTAAGGGTTTGTTTCCAGTCTCAGTCACAATAGGGTTGTGTAGCTTCAGCACTTATTATGTCTGCTGGACTAGGTGAGGCTCCTGGGCAGCCCATAAGACAGCACCAGCTAGAGCTGTCATTTGCTTACTTCAGGAATAACCCTGTGTACTGGGTTATGTTCATTTCTTTCTGCTACTTTCAGCCCATATTGCATTTAAGCAAACATAAATAACATGTATCTGTAATGTCTACTATATAAATATTTAAATACGAGCTATCCTTTTTTCCTAGAGAACTGCTCCCTTTACTCACTAACACTCTATTTTGTATATATCTTGGGTATGTATACATACTTTACAAATACATAATTTTATTTAATGTGTTTATTTTACACACATGCAAATTATATTATACTTTAGATATTGCTATCTTTCTTGCTTTCCCCCCTTAAAATTTATTCTTAATATTTACTCATGTTCTTAGTGCTGCAAAATATTCCACTTGATCTTAGCCAAAAGGCCAAGAAGCGATGCAGCAAAATATTCCATCACATCTATTCAGCACACAACATTTATTCTGTCTTTTAATAATGATCACCCGGGTTGGCTCAGGTGACAGCAATGTGCTAGACACCCCATAATATGCATGCCCTCTTACAGACTTGTGTCATAATGTCTTGGTGGACATCAAGTTTAGTTGCTGTGGTAGAAGATAGATGCATATTAATTTAAGGACTTCTAGACCCCACACAATGGTCGTGCCACATTATGGTCTCTCTAATGTCTATGCATGCCTCTATTTTGTTTCCTTTGGTTTATTACTACCATTTTATTTTTCATTCTTTTCTTTTGCTGTTTGTATGTTAACCAGTTTCTTGATGCTCTTTTAATTTTTTGTGAAGATAAATATCTCTTCATGTAGTTTTTATCTCATTGGTTCCCCTTCTTCATATCATGTCATCATATTTTTTGCCTATCTTAAAATTTTCCCAGATCATTCAGATTTCTGATTAAAACTTACCTCTTCATGGAGATTTTCTCTGAAAATCCTGTTTTAATCAGAATCTACATGGTCTGCATTTATCTTGTTTTATTTTTTTGACAGTACTCTTCAGAGAGATAGCACAACATAATAAAGTAATACCCACTTGGGGCCAGAATTCCTGGATTACAACCTCATCCTTGTTGTTTCCTGTCTGATGCATTGGGCAAGTTACTAAACCTCCCTATTTTTCCAATTGGTAAATTAGAGATAATAGTTTCTAATCTATAGGCTGTGATGAATAAATTGGTTGACATTTGAAAATGGTTAGAACCTCACCTGGCACCTAGCAGCCATTCAGGAAATATTAACTCTTGGAGCACTTATTACCATCTGAAATTATGCTATTTATATATTGTCAGCATCCCAAATTCAATGTAAACTCCACATATATAAGACTTGCCTGACTTATTCTTTTTTTTCTATTGATGGCAGTCTCATATTCATTAGAGGTAGGAAAATAATAGAAGGGTAGGGGAAAAATGGGCACTGCAGAGTGAGTTTTGAGCCAAGTAAAAAGGGAGGAAAAAATACAAATACAAATACAAATACAAATACACCCTACCGTGTGAAGAGGGATGACAGCCAGTACCTGCCTTATTCTTACTGTGTTTCTAACAGTTGATATGACAGGCACATTGAATGAATAAAAAAAAAAACAAGATAAAAGAGAACAAGATCCTCCCCTCCTTCATCAAATCAGTTTTATATGAGTTATGAGATTGTAAGTGGTCAGCTGCCCTTCACATACCAAACCCACCCGAAGCATCTTCCTCATAGAATTTCTGATATTTGAGATCCTTGCACAGCACTGGCTTCCGGAGATGAGAGTTGGTGAAAACCTTTAGTCCCATTGCCTTTCAAGACAAAACCAGTTTTGATCACACAACAGCAGAGAGTAACAGTTCAGAGCAGTTCTGCGTAACCTTTTCATTTTGCTCTCCAGTTTGTGTCCCCATTCAGATCTAAAGGTATTTAGAGATACTTCAGGACCGTTTTCTAAGGTCTATGTTTCAATTTCCTTTGATTCTTTGATGTAATGACTTGTTTCCTGTTTTCTTTCTAGCTGTTGACAAGAACCCTTAAATGAGAGGGAAAACTCCAGCTCATATCACGCTCCACTGTCTAGTCACTACGTTCAATTTGGCATTTTTGCTGGACTAGGGATAATATCTCACTTGTAAACACTTTAAAAATATATACTTTAATATAGTAGAATTTAAATTTGGGGGTAGACATAGGAGCAAAATGTTTGGGCATTTATACTAGATAGTATAAAATGCATACAACACTGTCAGTAAAACTGAGAATTCTCTCAAATATTAGTTCTTTACTTTATATGGTAACATTACTAGTTCTTCAGAATATTATGTAATGTTATTTTATTACTAAATTTAAAACAAATTAGTTCTTTTTCTAACATAATAGACTCCGAGATATTAGCTCTCAGATATTAATAGACATTATTAATTACAATTTAGTGCTTTGAGTATTATTGCATTAAAAACTCACATAATGACAATTTCTTTATTGTTTTAATTCCAACTCATTCATATATTCTCACACATGTTCACCATTTTAGGAACTAGTTATCTTACCTTCACAAGGTCATAGGCATCATCTCCAAAGTTAGCCCATGTAGGTGTGTAATAAATTCCTTTATAGAGGACCTGTTCATTTTTGAGACATGGCTCTTTGTGGCCATCTTCTAAGTCAAGTCCTCTGAAATAATAGCCATATAGATTCTTGTAATATAGCTGATTATATACCTAAATGATAGAAAGGAATCAAGTATTTTTTAAAAGAAAGCAATTCCTTCTTTTTTTCTCACAAGCAGTGTATAAATAAATATATACTAGGAAAGAATATCATCTCAGAGCTGCAAAGACTCTGAAATATTATGTAACCAGTTACATAATTTCTGGCTTAGTCATTTTCAAATCAACAAAGATACATAAGATACTGGATTTTAATAACTTTGAGATCAAGGGGTTCCTTGGTGTTCCCTGATGACTCATTCAAAGACATTATCAATAAAATTTACTAAATCTTGGTGTGCCTAAGATTATATATTTGTCAAAACAGGGATATTTATTAATTCTATATGTTTAATATGAGAATAAAATTAAATAATATACAGTATCAGAGTATTCAGTAGAGCATGGCCAAATGGTAGACATTCAGCAAACACTATATATTTTTAGAAGGGGTAAAAATAAAACATAAAACTCATTTTTTAAAAGTGGTAATGCTCACTTTTAGTATAATGATATTTGTACAACCAGTAACTAGAGGTCATATGTCACGATTTCTAACCTAAACTATTTTTTATTTCCAAAATTCTGGCGAATTTCTTTGTTCCTAGTTTATTTGAGGGCTTCCATTTTTCTTTAAAAGTGAAGACATAAATGTCTACAGTTGGTGATGAATCAAGGTGGTTCTGATCACTCACACTGTCTGCCGACAGCTGACCGTGACCCCTCAGTAGCAGCACACTTTGATCGAGAGCCAGGAGAGCACAGAGAGAATTCGAAGCAGCCGAGACCCGCAGACTGACGCTGGATCCTGGGGAGCTTCTTTCTTTAGAAAAATTTAAGTTGACCTGAAAGTGAAAATAAACAAAAGTGTGAAGAGATTGCAAACCATATGGGAAAATAATCTTTCAGATTCTTCTTAACGGGCTTCTGTGTGATTTATTGTCTTACCGACACCATCACTTAAAAGGACAGGAAAGACACCCCAAGTGAGCGCTACAATCCATTCTTTAAGTCATTCAACTCGTTAACTTTCCCATTCTAGCTTTCTTTTATTTCCCATTTTGCAACACAGAAAAATAGAAGTGTAAGCTCAACACATTTCTAAATTCTCCTTAGTTTTCCAATAAACTGAGCAAATCTGAAAAAAAAGGGACTTTTCTTTTTTCCTCACCTCATTTTTGAAGCACTTCTCAATTTGGAATCTGGTGGTGTCTGCGACCAATTCTCCTCCAGGATGCAAGCCGTAAACCAACATAACTGCAGAGGGCGCCAACTCGAAGCTAAACTCTACAGGAATGGAAAATACGCCCTTCGTAGCTGTGAATGAAAGGCCAAGAAAACACCGTGGTGAGATTGTTGACGGTCGTCTTGCAGAGTCCTCCACCTGATTCCTAGCTACCTGTATCTCCTGCCATGAGGCAGACCCAAGCCCCCAAATTTAATATGTAAAGTATACCTAGGAAGAGTTCCTAATTTACTCTGTAAATGGTAAAAGAAAGGAAGTGTTGGACACTGATCAAACTTTAAAGTTTTCAGTTTTAATTCTTCTTCTGTGAAAGTAAAACTATATAACTGTCTTTCTTAAAAGAGAAAGGGAAGGGCCAACGAGTCTCTCTTATAATAATGTTTTGAATATAATTAGCACTATAAATATTTGTTAAGTGATTTTCCTTTTTGGTTTGGCATTGTACCTTCTATTTGTATGTCTTTATATATTGTCCAGGGATGGGATGGAGATAGCAAACAGTCCTAAGCATAGCATAGCAAAGGCTATGACTTTTAAAAAATGTAAAATATACCTCAATTAAAGCATTACATTTACATTAAATCCTATGCTAAAAGATTTAGCCTCACCATCATTCTTGATCTCAATTTTCTGTTGCCCATGAAGAACAATTACACCTTTTGAAATCACCTAGGAGAATAAAGATATGATAAAGTTTAGGGAATAAAACCAAACTTCATTTGACTATAAACTTATGTAGTTTATTTGTTGTCATAGTTTGAAAATACAATAAAGATGTTTGCCCTTGTACTCAGGATACCTGTAAATGAGCATGTGACCCTAATAATTATATTTAAGAGAATTTAGGAGTCATAGATAAATTTGCTATAAAGCAAGTTAATGGTCTACATTACAGATCAACTTTCTGTGAAAAATATGATTTTTGTTCATATTTTAAAGCATTAACACACCTAAATTCATTTATGTTACATAAACAAAGTTACACGGAAGCATTATCAGAGGAGAATTCTTGAAGAGTTTTCTGAAAGATTTGTTGAATCTGTAAGGTAGAAGAGAGGCCCGCTCATCTATCTCAACCCAAAAGTTGAAGGAAAATCTTCTGTCACTTCACCTCTGTCAGCAACATTGTGCAAATTTACACCAGCATATTTGAATTATGGTCTCCAGGGGGCAGGCAGGAGACTTGACATTTGTTAAGAAAGTTATTGTGGTTTTATGTTACGATTTTGAATATTATTTAAACAGATACTGAGACTTGGAGAAAGTGTAAAACTTCCATAAAGTCACACAGCTTGAAATTGTTAGAACAAGTAATTTTACTCTGGTTAGTATTTCTCAGATCTCTAAAATTACTTTAACTCTCTGCAGAGCCAACCTTGGATAATTAATCCAGTGAAAAAAACCCAAAACCAAAAAACAAACAGAACCCCTACAAGTTGCAAAATATTGTATTTGGTACTAGAACATCACAAAGAGACATGAAGCTCATTGTGAATGAGACTTCTAGGCACTGTTCTGAGGGCATTTAGATGTTGCTCACTGACTTCTGGAAAGAAGAAGATAGCTCGTCTCACAGAGGAGGAGGCCCACAGAAGTGTGCATAATTGCCCAGGCCACACAGTTTTGCTGACCCTTAAAAGCTTAACAATTTAACTCACTAGGCCTCCATTCATTTATGCCACAATATTGGACTGAAAGTCCCCTCTGGGGTGTGTAACATGCCAGGCAAATGTACACCATGATGGAGCCACAAAACCCAGTCCTCAGGGTTGTAGAGGGTTGAGAGTAACAGGGGAGACAGGAAACTTCCAAACAACCACATACAAAAAGACAGAAGCACAGAATCGGATATGGAAAAATGAAGTCCATTAAGCCCATGATGGAAAATAAAGGTAGAATATCTGAGGGATTAAAAATTTCATTTTCTGTTAGAGAGGAATGATGAGTAGGAATGCACTAGGAAAACAGGACGCAGGCAGTTAGAGGAGCAGTGGGAACAAAGGCAAGAAGATTTTATGAGTCCATGTAACTTGTGGGTGAAGAGGAAAGGCCCCCGAATCTGCAGGAAAAAACTTCGCAGCAAAATGGTACGAAATGAGCCAGGCAGGCTTTGCTGTTCCAGAGCTGGTAGAGAAAAGGAGTTTATTGTTTATTTTCTTAGACTTAGCAAGTTATCAGATGTATTTCCATTAGGGGATTGAAATAATCCTTATTGCTTTTGAAAAATATCACTCTAGATTTCAGAAAGAAGAAAAGAAAGAGAAGTAAAGAAAGAAAACCCTTTCTTTAATTATATTATGAAACACATGTAACCCTGAGCTATCGTTCAAGATAGAAACCAAGGGAGGTAATTATAAAGGCCTCATCAGAGCAGAGAAATCTAGAATCTGATCAACTCAGCCCGCAGGCCTGAGGGGTTCTGGACTGGGAGAACCAGCACTTGGATAGTAAGATGGGCAAGGGTGGAGCAGTGTGGAAGGAGGAGGAGAAACCAGGGAGACGTCTGAGTGTCTTTAGAAAGACTAAGAAGTTCAGCTGTTCATTCAAGTTGTGTGCTACTCCTCACATGCTAGTACAGCAATGTCGTCATTGATGAAATGCTGCAGAATTTCTGTACTGTTTGGTAAAGAGTCTCTTCTCTGGGCTCCTCTTGGGTGAGCAGGAGGAGTCGGTCAAATGAGATGGCTGCGCTGGGGCCCCAGAGTTTCTGATTCTCTAGGTTGATGATGGGACTGGGGCATTTGTAGTCCTCACTGTTTGTGGGTGAAGCTGACACCCCCAGCCCGGGACCACACTCTGAGAAGCTCTGTCTTCATCCTGTGACTAGAGTTAATAACTCACTCTTCTGTATCACCTCAGCAGCCGTACATGTTTCATTTGTTGTATGTATGTCACTGTAATTTATATTTTGTCTCCAATTATACTCAGTTATACACCATTGTCACATGTCCTAAGATAGTACCAGGGGTATGAAAATCATTTAGTAATTGTTTTGACTGAATTAACCCATGTTTCACTAATTTTATACCATCTTCATCCATTGTGATGAAGGACCTTGGATCCATCTAGATAAACTAAGTCTACTGTAATAATATATTATAATAGATACTAATATTTAATGTCTTTTGCTTGCCAGGAATTGGGCAAAGGGCTTTATGTATGTAAGTTCATTTGATTCTTTTAACAACTATAATTAGGCCCCATATTTTAGGTTCCCTAGCGCTTAATGAATTTAAAAAAGTAACACACAGAACGACGATTCAATCTGAGCTATGTGCAAACGGAAGTGACTGGTGAGAATGGTGAGGTGGTTATGGGTGACAGCAGCATGGCCTGCCTTGTTACCTTTCTTTTTGTTTTTGGATAGAAATTTCAATTATATAATTTTATATAATTTGCATGCCTTGAAATTTTTCATGACATTGGGGTAAAAGGATTTACATTAAGTTCAAAGAAACTTGAAAGTCAAGAAGCGATTTTGGGTGTGTAAGGATATTTTCACTTCTTACCAAGTAATTGAAGCTCACTGTGTAGGTTTTATCTTCCAGGTCTTCCGTGTTGAGAAGGTAGTGCACTGTCACTTGCTTCTGTTGGTTGCATCTCAGTTCTTCCCTCTCGGGGACAATCTTTAGGAAGCTATTAGTCCTGGAGTAAAATCGGCTTACAAAGTACTCTGGTTTAGGGTACTCAGGCAACACCCAGCCACGTGCCTGGCAGTTCTCATTGGCCTTGTATGTGGCCTAGGCAGAGAATCAAATTTGCAGTTATATTTAGATAAAGGGAAAGAATATGTGAAAGAATATTTGATAAGATGGTCTTATAGTGCTGTTCCATCTCTAAAAGAAAATTTCAAGACTATTCTTCATGAACTCTAAACTTGTCCACAGCTACTCTATACTCTCGAAAGATCACTGTATGAATTTTATATTTATTGTTCAAGTCTTAAACCAATAATATGCTAAACATTTTTCTGTGCTCTGTACAGAAATCAAAATTTTATTAGCATGTATGTAAGTATCATTCTCTGTCACTCTCACATGAAGAATGTGAGAATATAGAAGGTGATTTTGTAGTAACAAGAAGTTCTGGTGAAGCATGAAAAAGGTTTTGTGAAACAGAGCAAAGCAATTATTCTAAACATGGTTATTCACCATTAACAATACACAAGTCTGAGGAGATCCTTTGAAAATATTTTAGAATCTCTGATATTCAATAGTTACGGAGAGTAGGTTAGTTCGGCACTGAATGGACCCAGAGAAGTCCTTCACATCATTCTATGGAAACAGATTAAAAGGTTTCTCAAGTGTTTCTGTCATGGAAATGCAATCATCTTTCTAGTTCCACAGTGAGAGCGAAGTGTTCTTACCTTTGGTTGTTTCTCCTTCATATACTTCAATATGTACATTATCCTTCTTTTTATAGAATTCATAACACAATTCTCTTATTTATATTAATAAATATTGCTTTAATATTTAACTTTCACAACACTCTGGGTTCACAACATATTTTCATTTCTGTTCCATACATGTAATTTAGCATATATCTAGACTTTAATTAGCCAATACTGTTTCTTTGTTCGATTTTCTCTACTTGCCTTTGGACAACTTACCTTCAAGGTAATGTTAGGGTACGTGAACTTAGATGTGTCCAGGGAGAACTGAGCAATGCCACGTGTATCTGTTGTGTAGTTGCCCACAATTTTGTCCTTTAAGTGCAACTGGATAACTTCATTTGGAATGGGAGAGTCATCAGGATGAAGCAATTTAATCTGCACAAGGGGAAGAAAATACATTTCTGAAGTAGTTAGTAAATTTGAAAATTAAGCTTTGATGGAATCTGCCACTCTCTGTCGTGAACACTTCTCTCTGGCCATGTGCCTTTCCTGCATAGATTCAACTACTCCTGTTGAGTGTGTAACACACACCATGAGTATAGTGATGACTCTAAACTATTTCTTCTACACTAAAGATCTTGGGGAACTCAGGTCCATATATATATAACTGTATCCTAAATATTTTTTTCAGTTACTGAAATAAAATAGCCTGGGGTATCCTAGAGATTTACTTTTCCTGGATTTCTTAATTGTTGATAAAATATTATTTGCTTCCAGTTTACCATATTCATTCATTTTGACTGTTATTGCTTTATGTGAATTTCTCCTAATATAGTTGCCTCCTACCTAGTCTATTCTGTATTGTTTCAGCCCTTTCTCTATATTGGAATAGAACCAAATTTTCTAAAATACAAAACTTATTTTGCTCCCTAAAATGTTTTAGTAATTGCTCTGTTAATCCATGGTTATTTGTTAAATAACCAGTACAAACAACACTAGCCTTACAAAACGACTTCAGAAATGGGTACATTTATTGTCATACCAATGCAGGTACCAGTATCCTTGCCAGTTTGAAATATTTTAAGAGCAACTTTGTTAACATCTAAGGGCACAATAATCAGAAACTTTAATTTAATGTAAAACTTTAAAACTATAGTTTAATGTAAAAATATCTAGATAAGTAAACAGTACTGATTCGGAAAGAATACAAAATATGACTTAAGAAGTCTGCAATCATCTCTAATATTCAATATGAAAATCTTAGCGAAGTGAAAAAAATCAAACAAACTAATAAACAAGATCTCCAGTAGTGTAAGTCTGGAAAGAAGCTCAAAATACATGATTTTTGTATAAAATGCTCTTTATATGGAATAAAGCTTTAAATAGCACCAAAAAGCTAAAGGAAACAAACCAAGACCCAAGATATCATCTGGGGTAATGTCAATATCAGAGGGCAGACTGTAGATCTCTTCAGTCTAGAGAAAGTTGTTTTACATCCAAAGAATTTAATTCTTTGACAGTGTAACATTCCTCAACTTTATGTTTTAAGTAACAAAACATGGGATGTATCAAGCAAAAATGTATACAGAGATAGATGCAAAATTTAGCATATAATCAAAAACTACTTAGTAAGTGCAACTATAATGTATTAAATTATCCATTTGCCAAGACTAAACTCCCATCTAAATTTATTTGTAAAATGGCCATTACTAGAATTTCTTGCAAGTCCTTGCAATGACTCTGTTACAAGGTCAAGCTTGAGAGCCATTGCTCTGTGAGATCTAGTCTAGGCAATCACTTCTGTAATTATTTTTATCCGTGCTCTTGGGTCAATCTAAATATCACTTTCTCAGGGAAACTTTCTGTGACCATTTAGTCCAGAGGTCAGCAAACACTTTCTGTAAAGCTCGACACGGTAAATATTTTAGCCTTTGTGGGGCCACATATGGTGTCTGCCTCATATTTTTCTTTGATTTTTAAAAAATAATCATTAAAATGGTTAAGCCATTCCTAGCTCCCTGGCTGCACACAGGCAGGCTCTGCTGGATTTTGTATTAGAAGTGGGTGTGTTCATCTCTGATTTAGTGTACATCCATGGTCAGCATTTCATTCACATAGCATCTATCATGACTACAGCGGAATTATTATAAAATTATTTGTCTAATACCTATTTTCCCTGTTACACTATACACACCATGAGGGCAGGGAGAGTGGTGTCTGTCCCAAGCTATTGCTCATTGTGATGTAGTCTGTATAATTTATTTCCCAGTCTTGGACATTTCTAGTGTGACATGGGCCACTATTGAGAGTTACAACTTGACAAGAGGCATAAATCAAGACAGAGCTGTGAAAACCAATAGAACAATACTTTACAGTGCTGAGCACAGAGTTTAACATCATTTCTTAGGAAAGAGCTGTTGGGTTGATGAATAAATGAGTGAACAGAAGCATAAATGAGGGTAGACAAGTGAATGAGGGGGTGAAGGGATACGTAAAGGAATTACTGCTTCTCTTACTTGGCCTGAGTAAGGGAGTCCTTGTTTATAGAATGGATCCATATTCTCAAAACTCATCTTCACCATTGATGTGTCTATGAATATGTAGCTATTTTTTGTGAGCTCGACACCTGTGGGAAATAAGTGCTATTAGGAAAATATTATCAAACAACAACCAAAGAGAGCTAGAGAAAAAATGAGCCTCAAAAATAAACCTCCCCTTTCTGTCCAAATGCTCCCTTTTCCTAAGCAGTTTTGGATACATGGGTACTTCTTCAGATGTCTCTTCATAAAGAAAATCAATAAAGATGAAAACTTCCAAAGAACTGATCATTCTCAACTGCTGTTCTTGCTGTCCACACATTATCCAATTCATTTTTCATGCCAACATTATTAATTTCCCATTATTCTTAAATCATTGTTTAAAATCATTTAAGTCTCTGCTTAAGTCATTCATGCATTTTTTTTTTTGTACCAGGATTGAACTCAGGACCTTGCGTTGCCAGGCAGGGAGCAGAACCACTGAGCTAAACCCTGGCTGTCCAAGGCCTGCATTTTGATATATTCACAATAAGAAAAGTAACACACATATATAATTAGAAATTTAAAAGTTTAAAGAAGGTAATGCAAACTATCAAACATCCCAAAGAAAACTAAATTTAGTAGTTTAAACTGTTTTTACAAGTTTTTCAACCTTTACATTGTAATTTAGATTAATATAATTTGGATTATGAATGTAGATAAATATATACACTAATTTGCTATTTGTATATATAAATACATGTAGTTTGACATTATGTTTTAAACATTAAGCTTTTCAGACCTTTCTATAATCCTATATTTTTAATGGCTACATAATATATTCCTCATATAAATGTATTATCATTCAGTGAGATATTCTTTCATTGTTTATTTTGTTCAGTGTCACAAGTATAATTAATCATCCTCTAAATGCTTATTAAATACTTTAATTTGCTTTGGATGTCAAGGCAAACACTACCAAAACTTTGAATACTGATAAAAGTATATAGGCTTTTAATCTCATGAAGACAAATTTTGCTGAAATGTCACATGCATAAGTTAAACAAAGCCTATCAGGACAGAAAGCAAGTGGTCAGAATAGAAAAGTACAACTCAAGAACTAGAACTTGCCATTCTCTACTACGGGAGGAGAGATGATAGGTCAGAGATACACAAGAAATTAGTCATTAGAAATACATTCCTGGTGATGAGGTATTTCATTAGATTTCAGAGGTCTGGTAAAATATTCTCCCAAAACCATATTCTATTTCCCTTGTTCTGATTCTATGCACCTCCCCAAATTTTATAATCAGTATCTATATTTCTCTATATTTATTTGTGAAATGACTAAAGAAAGGGAATATATCAATATCTAAAAACAGTCCCATTGTATACTAATAAATTAGTAATATGACTTCTAGTTTAGTCTCACTTGAATCTAATATTTATCCATCCATCAATAGGCATTTAATAAATTTTAGCTAAAGTTAAAGAAACAGATTTTGGATCTGAGAAGGTGATATCATATCCTAGGGAGAAATGAACATTGTCTGATTGACCACTAGGCGACTTCAGAGGACAGGGCTGTCTATGGGGCCTGACTGCTTAGGGAGTATTACCTGTTCCACTTTCTGTGACAAGAGCTTGTACTTCAAGGTAATTCAGGTACCCTTCCCGATTGAGCTCAAAAGCGTCTGTGTTAATAAACTGGGACATGCAGCCATCTTTCCCCAGCTGAAATGTTCATAACAATAAAAGGGAAGTTGTATTTAAAAAAGGCTATACGAAATAATAGTTTTAGAGAAAGTGTATAACCTTTGAGAAGCAATTTTAAGAGAACTGTTTTACCTAAATTTGAATTTTATAAAATAATCCATTATGCTTTCATAATTTAAAATTTCAACTCACATATTTACCACAAAATTTGAATTTTTGGCAAATATTAACTCTTACAATACTGATTACTCTGTTAATCCACAGCATAAACACATCAATCTCCAGTCACATTCACTCCCATGTAGTATTTGCAGTTTTGTTGGTTTCAACTATATTTATTTTTCAGGTATCCAATATGCTTAACATAATGCCTAATACTTACTAACCATTTCATAAGTACCAGAAATTATTACTATTATTATAATACTGTTATTTTTGTTTATTGTCCAAATATAATTTTAAAATTTAAGAACTAGAAGACTCATATTTTTCCCCAAAGTCTTCTCTAGAGGGACTAGAGATACAGCCTGGTGAAAGGGCATTTGTCTAGCACATGCTGGAGGTGCTGTGTTTGACTGCCTCCCCCAACAGTCAAATCTTCTTTGGAGAGAACAGAAATGTATCTCTGTGACTGTGTGTGAAAAGAGTATCACACTGTTCACGATGTAGGGATGGCAGCCAGCTGTTTAAATACTAGCTTAATTAGAAGTGACGTGAATGTAACTAAAGTCATTGCTGTATTTTAGACCTGTGTTTTTGTACCTATTTTCTGATTCTGGTTCTCAATCCTTCTAAGAGAATCTTTTCAGGAAATCCTTTCCCTTACAAGTTTGAAAATAAATTAATTCTTCTGATTAGAAAACTGAGGATAAGAGGTTATGATTGTGCAGATACACTCTTACCTGAATAGTAAAATTTTTACAGATTGAATTGAGATGTATACGATCACCAGAAAAAGTAGATTCTCTGCACACTCTGAGGTGAACGTTGCCCTCCACAGGTTTGCCATAGGTGTACCTAGTAGCAGAATACAGCAGTACAATTACAGCGCTCACTGTCATTACTAGTCCGCATAAGCTGTTTTTGAAACCTTTGTTTCTAAAACCATTCTTGTATCAACATTTAAATAGCCTTATTCTTTGGAGGAAATTTAAACAATAATACTGACTAACCTGAGTTGAAGGCTCTAAGCCAAGATAGATTTTTTTTTTAGTTTAAATTCTTTTATTGGTACATTTTAGGTATACAATACGTTTATATTTATCCTTGGGTGTTCAAGATAGATTTTTTTGAAAGGTTGAAATAAACAACATGCAGAACACATAAATCTAAGTCATTAAAATACAATATTTAATCAATCTTGGCCTTTTGGCTAAGATCATGTGTAAAACAATATAAATAAGGGCCGGGGATTTAGCTCAGTGGTTCCTCCACCTGCCTTGCAAGTGCAAGGTCCCGAGTTCCATCCCTGGTACCAAAAAAAAAGAAAAAAACCCCCCAAAACAACAACAAAAAATAAACAAAAATATTAACAATAAAGGAAATATACAGTCATCAACTTATTTCTTGGGGGAATTTTTTTTAAGCTTTTCTGTTATTTCACACTACACTATAATAAGCACATATTATTTTATTTTTTTACTTTTAAAAGTAACAATAAAAGTATATTTATTTGTAATTATACAGAAGTAGATAAATATATTCACATTGTTAAAATCCAAATAATAGGTAGAAAATGCAAAGAACAAAATTGTCTATAAGGAGTAATAGTAGATTTCATTGGGCTACATTTTATGATAATTTTTGGGTTTTATTTTCCAAATTACTCATTCTCTCTTCAGCCTCATACATTTTCTAGCCAGCCTTTCTACATATTTTTTGTTTATCAATCAAAATGCTGAATTCTTATGTCTATCATTATTATTATTATTATTATTTTTTGTATCGGGGATCGAATTCAGGACCTTGTGCTTGTGAGGCAGGTGTAGTGCCACCAAGGTAAATCCCTGGCCCTGTATTTGGTTATTTTTAAAGAAGCACCATTGACTCATATTAAGATATATACATTTTACTTATTTTAAATTTGTGTTCTGGATGATCTTCAAATGTTTTCTCAGGTATAAATTGCTAAGTACTCTGATTTCAAATTGTTAGAATCTTCAAAAATTCACTGATTTATGTTTATGTTTTATGGCTTCAGCTGGCTTGTCCCAGAGTGCCTTTAATGGTTTATTCCAACACATCCTCAGCAAAATAACAGGATTTGATCCACAACCAAAACTAGTACGGTAGTATATAGATATCTGGGCTCCAGATATTACATTTCTCAAAGATGTTTCCACCTATACTGGCAATTTCCTGCCTCTGCAACCCAAGTACAGTGTGGCAGTTTTATCCTTTGCCTCCTGGTATTCAGACTCCGGAGGTGAAACTGACAGTGTCTTCACAAAGTTAGCCATGTTCCTTCTACTCTTCTATGTCGTTATACACTTCCAGCCTGAAGCAAACACAACTTGAAACTCCCTGTATAATTAGAAATTACCAGTGCGCTTAAAAATGTTTAATCATCCCAAATGAGAAGGAAAATGTACATTTGATTTGACCTGCACCCAAGGAAAGAATTAATCGTCACCTTAGGTGTGAGGAGATGAAGCTTGATGTCTGCACTCTAATCTCTTTGCCAGTTACACAAGCTCTGCTTTAGCTTGGCTTGGACAAAGGGAGGGAGCTGTTGGCCACTTCCCCTGCCATTCATCAGTGGAGCCCTTCTGCTTGTCCTGACATGTTGTCAGCTCGATGTCCTCTCACTGCATCAGAACTACCAGGATCCGATTCTAGCTCTCCAACCAGTTCTGCACGATCCAGTTTGATCTATGGCTTTCTTCTTTAGTTACGTATTATTCGAAGACTGCATCAAAAACTCAGAATAAACACGAGACACCATCCAATGGGAATGTCCTGTGTTTATGTTCTGAGATTCAGGAGCCACTAATTGCTTGTATTATGGCTAGGGAAGATGAGGGACTGAATTTTAAAATTTATTATATTTTAATTAGTTGAACTATAAGTCGTCACATATGGGCAGTCAGTGGCTTCTGCATTGGATGGTATAAAAGAGTGTTCTCTTATGATGTAAGGCAGTGATCAGTAGTCAAACTGTCACCTAAAACCATGTGTTATAACATAGTCAAATGATTACTGATGAATGGTAAGAATCCATAAAATCAGCAATGTAAGTTCATAGTTTCCTTTTCTCCTGCCTTCTCTATACATTTCCATTTTGCTTTCTTTTTAGCTGTCTTTATTCTGTTGTAATATTGATTTGTGAACATATCTTTTTTTTTTTTTGGAAGCAGGGTCTTGCTCTGTAATTCAGGCTGGCCTTGAACTAACTATAGCCCAGGCTGGCCTCGAACACAATGCAATCCTCTTTCCTTAGCCTCCCGAGTGCTAGAATTACAGGCACGTGCCACTATGCCTGGCTGGATACATTGTTTTATTGTTTAAAATTTAAACTTACGAGGAGCAGACGTTAACTTTGAATTCAGAGTCCACAACTAAGATAGTGTCTGGTGCATCCACAGTCAGTTGAAATTTGGGTAGCACTGTCAATAAAAAGAACAACAGTATCTTATTAATAGTATCTCATTAACATAAATACACTCATTCAAAGCAATTATTTTCCCCTTACAAATCATGCAAATTTCTTAGAATTTGCTGTTAAAAATTAGGAGGACTCTGAAGTGTATAGGAGCTGGATTTTGGGATTGGACAGGAAAATACAGATTTGAATTTCAAAGCCATAACTTCAGGTCAGGGAAAGTATGCCTCAAACTCTTTACTGTAAAATGGGAATAATGATAGCGCAACAAGACTTAAATGGGGATTTTATGGGATAATATCAGCAGAACACCTCCTCACATAACTAATGTTACATTCCTTTTACTAAAAGTGCTTTGAAGCATACATATGACATAAAAAGGGTGTGAACACACCACAAACTATGACATAAGCTCAGTTCCAGATGTCACAAAGGGAAGATAAAATAGGAATCTCTGGTTAACAGGGAATTATGTGACAGTTGTGGACTGCTAACTGGAGTATAAAAATAAGAATAAGTGAAGAATCCCAAAGTAATAGCAGAGGGAAAAGAAAGAGGCAAGGAAAAGACATATATATTTACTAATATGTTATTTAGTAAATTGGTCCTTAAAAATGGATAGTTTTTGGGCCGGGGATTTAGCTCAGTGGTTCTGCCACCTGCCTTGCAAGTGCAAGGTCCAGAATTCGATCCCTGGTACCAAAAAAAAAGGAAAAGGGTAGTTTCTAAAGTTTCTCTTATCAGCAGGTAACATTTTTGCGGCTGGATTTACCATATTCTTCCACCGAGAAGGAGTGAAAAGCTTTCTTTTTAGACGCCATCTCCACAGTTATTGTGTACCAGCCCAGGATGGGCTCAGGGATCAACTGGAAGGACTGCTGCAGGATGCCGGTCTCAGACTTCTGGTCCACCCACCGTTGGATGTGATTACCGTGTGGGTCCTGAGGATGAATTAAAGATATTTTGGTGCATACTTGATTTTTTTTGTTGTTCATCATGAAGTTTCAGACCTAGTGAGTCACGGCATGAGCGTGTCCTCTGAGTCTTCTTGGAGAACTTATTCTGGGGCTTACAGCATAAGATTCAGTATATTTAGAAATATTTTTCCAACAATTTTATATGTCAGTCTCTCATTTCTTAAGGGTGGGCCATATGTTATCCCCAGTGTGTACTTACTATTTTATCCTCAGTGCATGAAATAATAAGTAAACACTTACAGACATTCAATAAGTCAGTTTTAAATTAAATGACATTATCCTTGCCTATTGTCAGTATTAACTGATGGATGCTAATATAAATCAAAGGAGAAAAAATTATTTTTATTCTCTTTGGGATGGCCACATGAAATAAATAATTCTGTGACAAGCTAAATAGATACTCTTTCTCTGTAAACTGTCTTCAGATTTTGAGGTTTAAGGACATGCTTAAAAACTGAGAAAAAACCTCTTCAACGAGTAGTTATCTTACCTTGAGGGTGATCACTGGATACTGAAACAAAAATAAAAAAGAATGTTAATACATGAGTATAGTCATTAATTGTAAGTCTATCATTGAATAAAGAAATATGTGCTGATAACTTTGGACAACGGCAAAATTAATTTCTGGCTGAACATCTGAATATCTGTCTGTTATATTGCAGTTTTTCTGCTGAGCTCCCAAGATTTTTGTTTACTTTTCTCTTTTTCATATCATACACTTTCCAGTCTCAGTAAGCAAACTTGCCCTTTAATCTTGCCCAACAAAGTAAAAATACTAAGATTATAATTAACACTCTTACTGACAGATTCCCCAGTCAATCTTCATTCTAACACCTACAATATTTTAGCCCTCTGGTTGGGCTGTCCTTGGGGATACATCAATCTTTTGATCTGGGACCTGCATTAATTCATTTTTCTTAGGTTTTTTTTTTTTTTACACTATTCCTTAGACTCAGCTATTTCCATATAATTCAAGTAAGTAGACAGGGATTTGCCTCAAGTCTTGTGCTGAGTCTTCCTCCTTCCTCTCCCTGTCACCTCTGTTCTCTCCTCTGTACCATTCTTCATCCTCTAGACCTACTATTTCCAGAGTCCACCATTTGATGCTGTCTTATAAGCAGTTTTCTCAGGACCTTCAAACCAGCAAGTCAGAGTGGAATGTCTGGTCTCCAAGTCTCATGTGAGCAGGCTGAGAAGTTTTAAAATGGTGACCTGGAGTCTTTTGCCCACTGTGCAAGTTACTAAGTGCTTTTTCTCATGAATTGCAGCATCCACACACTGATAAAAAACACATGGCTGGAGAAGTCCAATGTGAGTGACTACAGGAAGAGTCAGGTCAGAGGTGTTCAGAGAGGACACACTGAAGCCACAGGTACCCTGTAGTAGTAGAGGAGGTTCTTACACCCTTAATTAGAATATTTTTTGGAAAGACAGCAGATGTAGACCAAATCTAATAACTGGATCATTGGAGGGGGAAATGGAGCCAGTACAACTGGTCTACCCCTTTCCAGCCCCAGTCCAGGAAGGAAGCAGCCACTTCGAGAACATTCCATATAGCCCGATGGAGGGAAAAGAATGAAGGAGCACTGTGAAGACTGAACCCCTGGGTCTGACTCAGTATACACTAGCCTCTTTGACACAGCAGCTCTTATCCAAACCCTGGGGAGATTGAAAAGGACTTCAGAAAATGGAAAGATGCCCCTTGCTCCTGAACAGGAGAACAAATATTGTCAAAATAGCCATACCTCTAAAACTATTACACAATTTCAATTAATTCCCAAGAACATACTACGCAGACCTAGAGAAAACAATCCTAAAATTCATATGGAACCAGAAGAGACTCAGAATAGCAAAAAGCAATTTTGGGTAAAAAGAGCAAAGCAGGAGGTATCACAATAGCTGACTTCAAGTTATACTTCAAAGCAACAGTGATAAAAATGGTGTGGTACTGGAACAAAAACAAACATGTAGATCAGTGGAATAGAATAGAGGATAGAGAAACATCCTCAGACATATTCAGTTATATAATCTTCCATAAAGGGACCAAAAACATGCTTTTGAGGAAAGATAGTCTATTCAACAAGTATTACTGTGTAAACTGGCTATTTGCAGAACATTGAAGCTGATCCCATATCTTTCACCATGTATTAATCTAAAATCAAAAGAGACCAAAGACTTAAACATTGAAACAGAAACATCCAATCTCCTGGAAGATAAAATAGGTAAAACACTTGAAGTCATAGGTGTGGGCAAGGACTTTCTGAACAGAACTCCAACTGCTTAAGAAATAACAAGAATCAACAAATGGTATTATATCAAATTAAAAAGCTTCTGAAGAGCAAAGGAATCAATTAGTGGAGTGAAAAGACAACCTAAAGAATGGGAAAAATATTTGCCAGCTATTTCCTCAGAGGACTAACATCTAGAATATGTAAAGAAATTTAAAAAAATAGATCCCTCAAAATAAAAGACTCAATCAAGAAATGGGTAAGTGAAAAGAATAAACATTTCTCAGAAGAAAAAGTACAAATAGTCAACAAATATGATAAAAAGTTCAGCATCTCTGGCCATTGGAGAAATGCAAATTAAAACAATGCTAAGATTTCATCTTATACCAGGAAGAATGACAATCATCAAGAAGTAAAAGAAAATAACAAATGGTAGTGTGGCTACAGTGAAAAAGGAACCCTTCTACATTGTTGGCGGGAATGTGCACTAGTGCAATCATTATGGAAATCAATATGGAGATTTCTCGAAGATCTACATTAGAAATTTCATTTGACCCAGCTATTCCCCTGGGAGCTATCTTGCCAAAAGAGCTAAGACATCATATTCCAGCCATATATGCATGCTAATGTTTATAGCAGCATAATTCACAATAACTAAATCCTAGAAACAGCCTGTATGCCAATCAACAGGTGAGTGGATGAAGAAGATGTGCTATCTGTACATAATAAAATACTACTTTACTATAAAGAAAGATAACTTTGAGATATCTGTAGGAAAACGGATACACCTGGAAAATAGAATGTTGAGTGAAATAAATCAGTCACATAAACTTAAATACCATATGGTATCTCTCATTTGGGTAAGGCAAAGTACAAAGAGAAAAGTAAAGGACACTAGAAGGCAACAAGGGGATAGATCACTTGCAAATGAGAAGGGGTCCAGAAGACTGAGGGATGGAGGAGAGGGGCAGGGGGAGAAGAGGCGAGAAGATTTAACATGTGCCATGTACAGGAACCAAACACCTACAATCAATAGAAACATTGTATATCATAAATGTGAGCTAAGAATAACAAATGAAGCAGTAGAATGAAAATGGGGAAAGAGATTTTAGAGACTGAAGGAGAGAGGTGAGTGGGAAGAGGAAGCGGGTTTAAAAAAGAAACAAGGTACATGAGCCTTCTCCCCAAGATGAATGTAAACTTCATATATTGCCAAAGTATGCTAATAAAAAAAGATAAAAAATACATGGATAGACATAGGAACAAGATTCATACCATAACCCTTGTGTGGGATGCTTCAAACTAGGAAAATCACACACTGAATCAGGGGTTCTAACTGCTGTTATAAATTCATGGAATGATATGTCCTTGATGAAACATTGAGCTGACATTGAGGAAAGTTCCTGCTGTATTATGAACTCAAGCATTAAGACTCGCGGAGCTGCTCATGGGATTCCCTCACAGGATGAAAATAAAAATGTGTTTTCTGCAGGTGCCGTGGCAGGTGGATCATTTGGATCAAATTCTAAGGAGAATCAAAGTTAGAATACTCCCCCCTTTGTTATCTATTTATGATGCTTCCAAGGCAGATGGCTTTTATTGTGTTCAATAAGTTGAGTTTTTGTTACTTAATTTGTTTTAATTTTACTAAACTTGGGCTGCTTCAAATAACTACTAAAAAAGAATTTAGTAGAATTACCATTGTTTTAAGCTGCTTGTTTTCTCTGAAACAAGGATTAAAATATAGCTTACTCTGCTCTAGACACTAATGACTCTTTCTGGACTGAATTTTACTTAATCAGCCTGGATCCAAGGCAACCACACCTTCATGTGCCTTTCTGTGTTTTAGTTCATAGCCTGTCTCTCTCTGTCTCTGTTCTCTGTCTCCGTCTCTCTCTTTCCCTAGCACCTACGAAAAGATTGCTACAGTTCTTATAAGTTAAAGGAAAGATCTGGAATTCCTGTTGCAAATGAAACTGCCTGGAAAAAGAATGTTTGAATATGTTACAAAGCACCAACTTAAGGGAAGAGAAAGACAGAAACAGTAAAGAAATTACAGAAAATGACAGAAAGGAAAGGTGTAGGATTTAGGCAGAAGAAGTACTCATCTGCTCTGAATCGTGGCCCATTTGATGAAGAAGAGTTCCATCATTTCTATATTTTGATTATGTCATCAAATTTGCTATGAATTCCTGATCTTTCAGAAGGCCAGCCTACATGGAATCATTCAAATAAATAGATTGGACAGTTATTGAAATAGGGCCAAACTTAAAAATATTGGCCTAGAGATAGATAACCATGTAATCTCTTAACTGCTGCCATTATGGGGAATGTGACGTCAATTTTGATCTCTGCATAAGTGAATGCCACCCCTGAAGTACTTTCTTTCCCAACTCACTTCTAACATAATCATTTTGGGGGCAGGAAGAATGTCTTCTCTGTCTTTCAATCAGAACTACAGTAAATTACAGATAGTTACTTGAAATGGGAAAATATATTTCATTTTGTTGACCAGTTAGAGAGAGAAAAGAAGAAGGAAACAAAAAGTTTGAGTCTAAGTGAGGAACAGGAGGGATTCTAAACTAACAGGAACAAAGCCCATAACTTAGCCTGGCCCGTCTCATTTTCAGAGATTAATTTTATGCTGTGAGTAGCAAAGCAGTAGATGTAACTTATGTATTTCCAGCTAAACTTACCTCTTCCTCAACAGGCTTCAAATCATCATCCAGAGACACAATTCGAAACAACACTGGAGAAGGAAACAGACATGATGTAAAGACGCATTTATCTTTTGTGTCACAACAGCTTTCTTACTAACTAGATTAGCCTGGGCAAATCAGAAAACATTAGTTTATTGCAATCACTGACAGTAGTTACATACATATCTGATATAATCCATAGATAATGGTGGTTAGTATAACAGGCATGTCAGGCTGCTGAGAAAATATTCATCAAAACAACATTTGACTTTATTTGCACTTTCTCTTTCCACAAACCATCATAAAATGTGTTCAAGGTGACCTAATCACTTCATTAAAGTAGGGCCAGAAGCAGAGGCTGGTGAGATAAAGTAGCTCTTAAAACAAGTCATCATAGAAATTTTGTGTGCACTTCATTCATTGTCTTTTCTTTGCTCATCAACTGAGCCCTACTTCCTAATCTCTCCCCGTCAGCGTCTGCCGTCATCTACGCATCCACTGTCACATTATTTTCTAGCTATGTCCTTACTTCTGTGTCAGGTCTCAGCCAGGTGACTTTTGTAAAGTCCACGTCAGGAAAATGAATTCTCTTGTAAAGATGTTTCCCTGCCCTTACTTTTCTCAGAGAACTCTCTCTCTCTCCCTCTTCAGTGCTCTGAGACCCTCTCCCTCTGGGTCTCTCTAGGGTGACTGTGTATATCCCACATGACGCAAAAAAGAAAGTAAGCCACTTCCTGACATCACAACTACAGTCAACATTTCCTTTGTAGTTCCACTGAAATAAATTGTTATTTAGATGTTATTAGCTCCCCAAACGCTATGCAACTAGTTGTCTAGCTTATATTATGCCTAGAATTTCACTGAGCTAATGGTGTCCTTTTCCACCAACTAAAGATGTCATGAGCCATTTTCACATGCTCCATGCAATAGGGTGCTTTAGTTTTCCTTTAAAAGAGAGTGCAAATCCTTCTTAAAATCTGTAATCGCACCACAGCTATTGCACTTTGGGGAAAAAAAGCCACTCACTGGTGGCAGTACTCTATGTTGACCTCCATGTACATATACCAGCCCTTTATGTCTGCTTTTTAGAATCCTTTAGTGTTCGACTTTGCTACTCTCACTATTACAGGCTAATGATCCTCTGCTAGCTTCCATTTACTTATTCACTTGCTAATTTAAAGAAATCTTTATTGATAATCCATTTTCTTGTTCTGTTTATAGGTGTGCAATGTCAAATGCTAAAAATAAAATAGAAGCATGCTCTCAGAATATCTTGTGTGTCACAGGATTGGTTGGGAAATCCCGATCTTAATAAATCTCATGGGTTTCAACATGTTCTTCATGTTAGTGTTACCTCAGATTCACGTCTCCAACCTTTTCATCCTACATGAGGTTTCACAAATCCTTCCTCCTATTTGACAAGGCTGACTAAATGTTTAAGAAAAGGCTCACACTTAGTGCCTACAAATGAACTCTTAATCTGCTCCTGCCGGCTTACTCTTGCCCTACTACTTGCCATTTTATTAGCTTTTTTTTTGTCATTACAGGTACCCAAGTCAGAGACACTGGACTCCTTCTAATCTTCCCCCTAAATATGCCTTGAAAATATTGCACTTGCTAATTCTCTCGCCCAGTGTGACTGACTCCACCCACACTGCACACCCTTGCTGTTTTGCATCTCTGCTTCATTATTTATTTATTTATTTTTTTGTATCAGGGATCAAACTCAAGACCTTGCACTTGCGAGGCAGGCACCGGAACCACTGAGCTAAATACCCGGCTCTGCTTCATTATCTTGAAACATTATTTCCCTCTGGTCCTAATCTGCTCACTCTTCTAGTTCTGTCATCTAAAATTGATTTCTCCTTTACTGCAATTCATAAGGATCTCTCATTTGTCCCCGTGTAGCACTTCCTTACTGGATCTATGCCATTGCTGTTGCCCTGACCTAGTTAATCAATCCTAGGATCAGCAGATGGAGAATTAAACATGATCTTGTATTTTCTCGGATGAAAACTTTCCATTGCACAAGGCAGTATTCATAACCTGATACCTAACACGTTGCTGTCTGGAAAGTCCTGGCCTGACTGTCCCCACCACCTCCCATCCAGCCACTCCTGGCCGTGCTGCCTAAGCAGACACAGCCTGTCTCCCCACAGCCATTCCTCCGGTTCATCTTCACCTCTTTCATTGCTATTACTGTGACAACATCAGCCCTTTCTACCCATGTGAGGGGACAGCTTTCTTTTTTACTTTACCATGGCATGTTTGGAAGCCCCTTACTTAATTTACCAAAACACAAGTGGAATCTGTTTGGCTGAGTACTATGTATTTTTTATTAAGTCAATTACCTTTTTACTCGGAATGTATTTCCAGATATCTCCATTGGCAAAATTTTTTGCTACCCCACTGTTCTATCATACTTTGTCCGTGTCCCTAAACAACAGCTAACTTAATACATTCATAAATAGTTTTACGTCAGTCTTCCTGATCTTGCTTATGAATTTTGTACTGCTGATCACTTTTGTATTGCTACAGTAAATCAGATTACCTACCATGTAGCAAGTTTGTTGCTTGAATCAATGTTTTCAGCCATATTAAAATTTGAATATTCCATCAGGTTTTTTTTACCACCATATTATCGATTATTTTTAGGAAGATTTTAATGGGATTAAGAATAAATATTTCTTGTAATGTTAACTGGTGATATTTTAATTTATCATCAATAGTTTATTATAAAATAATGTATGCTTAATAAAAAATTAAGAAATATTCCTTAATACATAAACAAGTTAAACTAGAAGTCAATTATAAAAATAGTATCCAGAAATACTTCTGTGTTTTGTTTGTGTATTCTTTATGTAAAATCTCCTAACTACATTTTAACTGTTTTTTTTTTTTTTGGTACTGGGGATCAAACTTAGGATCTTGTGTTTGTGAGGCAGGCAACAGCACCACTGAGCTAAATTCCCCAGCCCACATTTTACCTGTTTTTAAAAACTGACATGGACTAAAATACGTGATTTTAGAATTATGTCAACCCCAGGAAATATTTATGATAGCTGTATAATATTGGACCATGTGCAGGTAAGATTATTAACATTTTCTTTTATAGGGACACTACCTTTATTATGAGATATGTGTTCTTGAAATTTTCAATTTAAAATTTACTTACTCAGGAGTTATTATGTTAAAAACTGGCGTGTATTTCTCGGTACTATTCAAAATCTTTTCCACATTTGGTTACAGCATAAATAATTTCTAATACACAGCATTTTTGCCTTTAAAACTACGAAAACTATGAACATTTGGTCAGCATAAAAATGTAGGGAGATATATTAATTAACTATATTTATGCACATAGAGATTTTCAAAATAAATTTTCTCATATTCTTTCAAAGTCATGTGATGTCTTTATTCTTAGATGCTGGGATTATGGGTAATTTGCTTTATCCTTTATTTCCAAGATTGGTCTTAATTCTATTTTTTATACTTAACATAGATATCTTTGAGAGCAAGTGTGCACCCTACCCTCCTCTTGTCTGAACCCAGTGTCCTCTGACACACACACACACACATACACACACACACACACACACACACGGAAGTGTGAGTTTCTAGCAGCCAATTGGCTCTGTGTGGCTTTGTATCCTGGCCTTGTGGCCTGGATACTTAATCCAAGCTGGACAAAGTCGTGTAATTTAAGTGCACATAACTCACACATACTTCTAATGAACTAATTGCCAAATCATACTAAATTGTCAAATAGGAAAATAATTTCTTTCTTCATAGAATAAGAGTGGCTGTTAGTGTAAATACAATAAATGCACAAGTTTCTTTCCTGGACAGTGGGAGTACTCATGATTTTCTGGACTAAAAAGTAAATTAAAATAATCTCTCCTCAGCTATTTCAGAAGCTTAAAACATCTTTCAGATTTTTGATGAACTTTTTTCCTCTATTTAGTGTCTGATATCTTCATAAATTTATATATGAATATGTACTTTTAAGAAAGAAACGAAAAAATTAATTCTAATGTTTAATGGCAATATCTTATTTTTCTAAGTCTTTTGTTCTTGCAGAGTAAATGCTTTAAAGAAATATAAGGAAACACTTGCTAGAGAATTTCAGGGAATAAGAAATTTGTGTTGATTATTTTCAGGGAGGACCTTGCAATCTGAAAATCATATTAGATGAAATCTGATTCAAACTTCTTAAGGACTACTCTAAGGTCATTGCCTATGAGACAGCAAATGAGGTGAAAACCGTAACTTTCTTTCTGATCTCTAAGTCACACTGTACAGCTTTTCTTTGATCTCAGGCAAATTTTAGCAAAAGTGCTTATAACACTCAGGAAGAGCCAGTCAAAAAAGTATCTAATTTTCAGCCAGGCAAATCATTCTGGTCAAAGGTTTCATTAGTGGCACAGTGAGATACTTGCATGTATGACATATGCTAAATAGGAAGCTAGAAAGCACAATGTTAGAAAGTGTGTCTAGATAATTTGTGAGTCTTAAGAGTTTCAAATGACTTAATTTACAGTAATTTAGCAATCAACAGCTTCTTGTAAAATGTCTAGGCTGCACTGATGTTCTATGACCTGTCATTTCTCAGAAGGTGGGAAAGGAGCAGTATACAGGCACGAAGATGGTGTTGCATAGGAAGCTACAGCAAAGCAGATTTACACTGTGGTTTTAGCATGTGGCTCACAGTATCACAATATGTTTTTGTAAAGAAGAGGAGGAGGAGGAGGAGAAGTGGTGTGAAGTTAGGCATGGTGGTGCATGTCTGTTGTCCCAGCCCTCTGGGAAGTTGAGGCAGAAGGATTCCTCCAGGTTGGGCAATTTAGCAAGACTTTGTCTCAAAAATAAAAAACCAAAAAGGCCCGAAGATGCAGTTCAGTGTGAAGATCCTGAGCTCCATAACTAGTACACTCATCCTCCCAAATGCATGCCTCTAGGTAAAGTATGAATATTGCAAATTACATCTCAGACCAAAGAGATCAATTTTTTGGAAAAAGAACATCCTCAACTGTGTATGTCTCACCATTCAACTTCTCTACTATATTGATTCCCTTCGTCTGCACATAAGTCCTTTACTAGAAAGTGGATGGGATAATAAAAAGAAAGAAAAATTGTTTTAAATTAAGAATTTATATTTCTGTGCTATTTGTAGTAGTATCATCCTTCCCAACCCCTGTCACTCCCAGGTCTTCATAACAAGAATCCTAGGAATTCCTTGGGCATTCTCTTCTGTTAGCCATGTACAATGGTTCCCTTCCTGAGCACACAGATACATTCATCGTGCTTGTTTAGTGATTCCTGGCTCTACTCAAACTTTAGAAACTGAGGCATTCCTCAGTCTTCTTGTCTAGTGCTTCCGTTTCTCTGTGGTAACCCAGTACTGATCTGAACAACCATTTTGTCGCTGCTCTGAAGCAAAGGAAAGAGGAAAAGGTAGAGAGAGGGTGGGAGAAGGGTGTGGGATGGAAGAGTATCCACAATACAGTTTCTGCTACTCCAGCAAGTATTTGTCACTTCCCTCAGTTTGGCTTTCTTCAAAATCACAGTGAGCAGATGCCCGAACAAGCTGTGATTTTAATAATCTCCACCTCACTCAACCTGCCGTACAGGTCAAGTCTAAACCAGCAAGTCAGCACACAAAAGGGCATCTTCTCTCCAACTTCATAATAGAGCCTTTCAAAGTATGCCTACCTGTGGCAATTACTATTAAATGACAGATTTTAAAGTTGCCCTTACCCTCAGAGTAATATAAACTTTTAACAAGCTTTTTCAGTAGTTTTACTTACTGAAGTTTGAGAACCGCCCAAACTTCTCAGATCTATGTGATATTAGATGGAAACAGATAGAAATAGTTTTAAGAAAAATACGTGTTGGAAGCGTCTCCATCTATTTAAAAATATCTTCATATTCATGTTTTGTGAATGTACCAGAGAGGTATTTAGGGAAGAACAGGTACGTTCTGGGGACTATAAGTGACATTGTACTGCAGCTGGCTGGCCATGTATACCTGTAGGTCCCACATTCTCAGGTTCAACTGACAGCAAAACAAAAATATTCACAAATGAAAAAACTGAGTCAGTACTGAACAAGTACAGACTTTTTCCTTGTCATCACTCCCCGAATAAGACAGTAAACTAATTGAATAGCATCTACAGTACATTAGGATTATAAGTAATCTGGGGACGATTTAAAGTATATGGGGGCAATGTGGGTAGCTCTTTGCAAACTCTATGTCATTTCATGCGAGGGACTTGAGCATGCACACATTTTGGTGTCAGCAGAAATCCTGAAACCAGTCTCCCTCAGTTACTGAGGGACAACTGTATTTTTCTTGACACGTTTCTTTTTCAGTGTTGGGAATAGGATTCAGGGCCTGGTGTATGCTAGGCAAGCCTTCTACCTTCAAGATACATCTCCAGCCTTTTAAAATACCAAAAAAAAAAAAAAAAAAAAAAAATTAAAGAAAACTTGAATATTTTGGAGAGATATGTAGCTATTAAAATATTTTCAGCTTAAATTACAAAACATGTTTTTAAGCTGACAAAAAATAAGAAGGGAAAGAAATAAATATGAGAAAAGGAAAAAATGGAAACAAAGTCTTTGTGAATAGGGAAGGGTGGAGGGGTTGATGGGAGGGCAGGGGAATGGGGAAAAAAAATAACCAAGATGGATCATGTAAAGGTACAAATTCCCCATGATAAATGTTACCATATTGTGTACCTAAAATGTACCAATAAACTTAATGAGTAAAAAACCCCCAAAACAAACAAAACAAACAAAAACGTAAGATAATTTTTCATTAAATAGAGAAATGTATTTCTAAGCTGGCACTAAAATAGTTCAATAGTGTGATTCATTAAACTTCAAATGTATGAATGCAATTGATTTTTCCAAGAGGCATATCAAAAGTAAAATATGTCATCATATGTTATTTTGCTCATAAATTTAAATCTCAATTTATTAGTCAGTGTGACCATCCTTATATTTCATACAGTCCTAGGAATATGTGAATATGGCAGAAGATTGTCTGAAAAAATTGGTCATGTCATATTTCAAAAAGAATTATACTTTTTGTTGTTTTCAAAAGAAGTCTATTTCAATAGTGGGAGTTCAGAAAGACGTTTAATTTAAATGTCTTAAAACTTTCCTCTTCATTTTCATGCCCATTCTTGTCCAAGCACGTTGTGCTCCTCATTGTCAGTATTGCAAAGAGCTAAAGAAACGTCCTTTGTACCTTAACGATATGCAGGTTACTCAACAGTCTTCAGGTTGCCGCATCACACCCTAATTCCCGGAGCTGCAGTGACTCCTCGGGAATTGCTAAATGGCACGAATGCCTCCCCAGCTCACTCGCGGAGGGATTTTCTTTAATTCTTGTATTCATTACAACTGGTTTTCCTTCATTCCATGTATTTTCTCCACCCCAAATAAGTTTATTTCTCATTTTGAGGTACACTTTTAAAATTAATTCTATCCCCCTGTGCTTTCTCATATGCCATTTACCTCATCAGAAAGATTTTTCTTTTGACTTTTACAATTTATGTTCATTAACGCTTTCCAAACCCAGGAGATGAGAAGAGGCTTTTCAACTTAATTGAAAATCACTCACGGCTTATTCGACCACTGGAAAGTTCTCTGGTCACTAGGTGTATCTCTTGACATACTACTGACATGCTTTGCCTTTGTTTTGTATCTAATTGAATTATGATCTCCTAAATTTGCATAAGCTAAAATTTCATGATTTTCCAGAATAATACGGATATCATTCAAATATTAAAGAGCTCTTTAAAAATACATTTTCTGCGGCTTCTTACCTAGTTTAGGACATGAAATATCTAGCATTTAGATAATACACACTTTTATTTTATATTTTTAAAGCAAGCTTTCCAGTGGATGTTAATATAATAAAATACCGTGATTGTATTGTATAGCATCAGTTTAAATACCCTATAAAGGATATTGGTTGAGAGTAAAGATGTAGGTGTCATACCGTCCTGTGCAGGCTTGTAGATGGGTTTGTCTGTCTGCACGAAGACCACATTCTCCTTGGGCCTGATTGCCACAGACCTGGTCTCTTCCATGTGGACGGTGGCTCCTTCAGCGGAGAATGTGATGAAAGCTAGTGGGTCCGATGCTGCCCGAGGAACCTGCGGTGCAAAGAGATATTTTATGAGACTGGTGTTTTTTCAAGAAGTCTCTATCACTCCTTGTGTGTTGGTGGTACTAAAAGTTTGAATTCATAACTTGCCATATCTATTTCTTACATAACCAATCTTGTTCATTTTTCTTGTCCTGTCACTCTTATCCTACCTCGTCATTTAAACGAGTTCTCTGTGATCTTTCTTAAAACTTTCCTTCACTGGACTGGGGTTGTTCTTTTTATAGATTTTACTCCTTTAAGCCAATTTCTGTCAAAATATCAAAAGTTTTGTTTCTTCTGCTTGTCACATTTAACTGCACTTATACCATCTCAAGCCAAAGACTGCATTTTCAAATTTACAATAACGCACACATTGTCAGATTGGCTGTCTGTTCCTAGACAGCCAGTTATGTGGGTGGCTTTTGTGTACCTGCAATATTATTTTCTATTGTAAGCAGAATAAAGTATTTACCTCAAAGTTGGTACATTTGAAGAAATTTTCTCCTGTAACATTCTCTTCAAATATTTTGGTTAGGACCTCACCATAGTTGAGGGAGACAGTCAAAACAACAGATTCAGTCAGATTGAAAAGCTGGGCACAAACTTTATCCAAAGAGCTTTCTTGTAGAACAGAAGGAACCAGCAGAACATACTGCCTGCAAAATTTAAGCAAAAACACTAAAATTGAAGTTGTTAAATGGTTAGGTTTTGGAGCCTAAGAAAAATGCATTATTCCCTAATGTTGGAAATACATCAAAAGACTAAATCTTAGGACTTGAATTGCACAAAGCAGAAAGATACTGGCTTGTGAACTGAACTTTTAGACCCAACAGAAAATATGCCATTTACAAAGTAGAGTCCTTAGAGAATGCTTTTGCCCCTAAACTAGTTAGCATGCACATCCCATTTCATATCTGCTTGCTGTTTGTCCATATTCATTCTTCAGCAGATGTCTCATGCACTTTCCTGAACATAAGTGTACAGCATTTGTTCTAGCTCTTACTCAGCATCTCTCCTAGGCAGAGATAATGTTGCCATCCAAATTTGGATGAGGTTGTACAAATTAAGATATTTTAGATTATACTGTACAATGGTAATATTATTTAAAATTAAATCACTACAGTAAAAATGTAATAAGTCTAAGTTTTTAACATCAAACTATTTATTCTATCTGTAGTAGTGCAACCTTCTGCAATCACTTACACTTTTGGAGACTGAGAAAGAGCCAGATGAAAGAGAAAACAAGCAACAAGTGATCGCATCCATATCATGGTCCAAACAGATGTAGAAGTCAGCTGACAGACTCTGCTCACTAGATGGATGTGTTTAGGCCAGTGTGGAGGGAGCTCAGATATTCTCTCTGGCCCAAAAAGCCAACAGTGGAACTATATATCCATGCAGGTGGTTTTGCAACCACTTCCTGAATCATTCATAAAATGCCACACACGTAACCTAATTGGATGCATTCTTTGAGTTGTAGTCACCTCCCAGTGCTCCAGTCTATTACTTGCTAATAATGTCATTGAGTGTCATCATCTCATTTACAAAAATATCTTGAGTCAGTATTTCCTAGACTTTAATATACGTTGCCCACGAGTGAATCTTACAAGAACAAACTTCATTTCAGGAAATTCAATTACCAATGAATCAGTATCTTACTAAGCTCTTCTTTTGTGGTTTAAAACTAAATCTGTGTTGAAAATGCAATATAAATTTCTGATTGATAATAGTTTCACAGTTACTATAATGAGATCAATTTAAGAAGTCTTAAAGAAACTCAGATTGAAAAAAATTCAAATATTATCAGTTTCTTTTACTAATTGTTGATGTTGTGTTTTCCATATATTATACATAATATAATTTTGCATGCCAAATAAATACTTTTAATTCTAAATTAAGAGGAAATAACTGCACTTCTCAAATTTTTAGTATAATGATAAAATAGTAACTAACAAAATTTTATTATTATCAGTATATCTACTTCTATGCTTATGAATATGAAACTTTTGGCAAAGAGCCTAATAAAATAGCATTTATTAACTGATTTGGCAAGATAAATTGTCATATTAAAGACACAGTTGGATTATTACTTTATTGTAGTCATAGAAATTCACCTTTGGAAATACAAGCCAAGCTGATATCCATTGTTCCGTAGAAAGAATTCAACAAAATGTTCTTTGGTCATTTTTGGTCTCTCCTACTTCAGCCTCCATTACTTTGACAAAGATGCACAACATTTTATTCCTTATAAACAGACACCAGGAAGGTAGTGGGACACCATGGCATAGTCGCTGAAGAGGAGTTTTGGGAGCTAACAACACCATCTCAACTTTCTCAGGGAAACTTTCTTAAGATGTATCTGAGTTAGGTGAGCAGCGCCAAGGGCCAGATACCTAGGATGTAAAGATGTCTTCACAAGGTTTACTGAAACATTGTTTCCATTTCCTTTTCTTTCCCTTTCCTAAATTCTTGCCAAGTATTTTGAATTTATCTTTAGTTTTGACTAAATAAATAACTCTTGGAAAGATGATCTCATGATTGCTGTAATTTCTTCAGGTATCACAAAGTCTCCTATTATGCTGTGCATCTAATATTAGCCTTTGACTAAAAAAGCAGAGAATTTATTTTACAATGACATAAACCAACACTTTTTTATCCTAAAAGGTAAGTTACTCATATCATGTCTTCTTTAAAAACTGTTGTATGGTCCATTGTTACCTATAGGATAAATCCCAAACTCTTCAGGGAGTTTCTTCTTAAGAAGGTTATATTTTTCACCCGCCACACGTTCTCTCTGTTATCTTAGATGAAAACTGCAATTTCTGATGCCTTCTGTACTCTTTCATCTCTTTATGTACACTTACTGGCCTAGAATCCCTCCCTGTATGACTTCCTTTCCTCCAGGTGTGTGTCTGTATCTCTTCCTCATTCTTTGTGATTCAGTTAAAACTTTCATAACTCCCAAGATGGAATTGGTTGTGGCCACCCTAAGTTCCCATTGCCCAGTTATATATCTCTGTTAGAGGATGGCATATAAGTGTTTGCTTTTGTGTACCATCAGCCACTTGGTTGTGAGAATCTCAAAAGCACAGTTTGAGAGTTTTATTCAGTGTGGGCTTTCCAGGGGCTAGAATATTAATATATCTTTGAAGTAAGGACTCTCAATTCCCAGACTTTTTTAAGCCAACCCATTTATTGGGGTATTCTCTTTCTATCCAAGAGAAGTATCCCAAAGCATACTGGCTTTTTGATGCAGACAGACAAATATATCTTTCTAATAATTTATTCTGCTGCATTCTTACTATTGTTAGTTCCAGATAATTAAAAAGAAAGAAAGTCAATTATCATCAGACATTTAGGCTATGGTCAAATGGTGAAGTGTTCATTTGTATTCACTTCCTACTGTTTATACCTAACCCGTTCAAGAAGACACCTGGGCACTGCGAACTTCTTCGCCTACAAGGTCTTGACCAAGTCAGGAGAAAATTGGCCTCACTCACTTGGCTAAGACCATGGACTTTATGCTTTTATTCAACTGTTTCTCTTGACATTCCAGATAGCAAAATATCACAGATCAACTGATTATTTACATTATTCTTTATGAAAGAGCCTAAAACCTACTGCTCTATCTATGATGGATTCCTTTGCTTGTAACTATAAGACTAATTTTAAAGTGTGAATCTAAAATGGTTACATAATATTTGGAGACTATAGTCAGGCATTTGCTTATATATAGAACATTCTTATTAATGAAAATGCAGAATAGAAATCACACCACAGTTGGGGGCATCTGGAGGTCAAGTGTTTCTTATGTCTTTATTAACTAATTATAATTTGGAAGTCCAAGTCTGACATAAATAACAGGAAAATTACTTTTTATAGCTAACTTTCATCTGACTAGAAATATGATTCCTTATTTTTTGACACAGCCCTTTGGATTTGCAAAGTAAATTTTGCATATTTTCAGGTCGATACAAAAGCTGAAATTTACTGAGAAGAAGGGAGACATTACAGAACATTTCTCTTTTATATGATGTTTAATTTATATTTATGCACACAGTACGTGGTATGTGTCATTTGGTGGAGGGAATCATAATTATTACATGTATACCTCTCTGGAAAATAAATGTATGTCAGCACAGAGCTCACCACCTTGATTGGCCCATATGATGCCAGTTAGCACTTAAAAGTTCTCATATCTTTTCTTAAAATATGGAGTTCATGTTCAGAATTATGATTTGTTTTTTCTTTCTACAGACTTGTAATACTTGTTGAATGATTTTCTTAGTATCATTCACACTTGCCTCTTTTATAACTGTTTCATCTGACTGAAAATATGACTCTTTATTTTTTGACACAGCCGTTTGGATTTCCAAAGTAAATTTTGTGTACGAGACATTATCTAGATGGAGATGGTTGTAGATATAAATATATATGTCTCTAACACATAATCTAAATTAGATAAAAGTCATAATCTTTTAAATGTCAAACAGTAAAAAAGACAAAGACTTATACACACAGGAACATAGATATAAACAAGGTTTTACAGTCAAGGCAATGAATAAGAATGCAATTTGCATAGAGAATTCTGAGTGGCCTTTTCTTATTCCCAGGCCTTTGAGTGGGGGAATCCCCTTCTACTGTGGGAAAAAATTTACTGTATCCTAGAAAGGGATGCTGTCATCAGTAAAGGTAAGGGTGTGGAGAGAATAATAGTATGGCTTGTGTGCCAGGAAAACCGATCAAATCTCTTTCAGAATATGGGAAATTCCTTTTTTTCTATCCACACAGAAATTACAATGTCCATTTCCTTATTCCTAAAGCAGAGATATATTTTATCAAATGTAATGTTGGAATAAGGGCTGTTTTTAAAGTTTCTATAAAAAAAAGAGTTCCAAAGTCTATTAATTTAAAGATTATTGCTCTAGCCAAGAATGCATTTGGAATGCCTTGCATTGGGTTTCTTTTTTAAAGAGCAACAATTTTCTTTATGAAATAAAAAATGAGCTCAGTAATTGTCAAAATAAAGTAAGACATTTGTCCAAGCATCTCTGTGAATATATTGCAATAATGTTATTACAGTAACACACACAGTGTGCTTCACTTCCAGTGGATATTCATATATTAAATAAGAAGGCATTTCTTTTCTTTTCCCATTAAGTTTATTGGTACATTTTAGGTATAAAATAGTTACATTCATCATTAGGATCTTGCACCTTTATATGATGTATCTTGATTCTTATTTTTTTCTCCTTCCCCTTCCCTCCCTTCACCCCCTCCACCCTTCCCTATTTGCAAAGACTTTGTTTCCATTTTTTTTCTTTTCTCATGTTTTTCCTTTTCAATTCTTTCCTTTCCCCTACCCCTCCCACTTCCCCTGCTCCTTTAGACCTTTTCTTTATATTACACAATATCAATTATAAATTTTTAAAATTACAAT